ACAGGAAGTACTTATTTACGCTATTTCCGATTTCTCAAAAAACGCATGTAAATTTATAAAGTACTAATAATATTGCGCACTATCATGCACATCTTTATTTAGCGTTCACTTGGTGTGCATTTCTTTTTTCTACGAGATTATATTCTATTTTAAAAAATTTGAGTAATTAAAATGGATTAAAAATCATGTCTAGAAGTCTATATCCCGAGTTGCCATCCCCCATAGTGTTATATTAGAATATTCGAGAAAGTTTAGGGGAGATCACTCCCGGTTTATTTAACAATGTTGTACACATTTTAGGTCTTAGAATTAAAATCAATGTGTGCTTTTTTTTTGGTCAACTTTTTTAACAATGTTGTACACATTTTAGGTCTTAGAATTAAAATCAATGTGTGCTTTTTTTTTGGTCAACTTTTTTAACAATGTTGTACACATTTTAGGTCTTAGAATTAAAATCAATGTGTGCTTTTTTTTTTGTCAACTTTTTTAAGAATGTTGTACACATTTTAGGTCTTAGAATTAAAATCAATGTGTGCTTTTTTTTTGTCAACTTTTTTAACAATGTTGTACACATTTTAGGTCTTAGAATTAAAATCAATGTGTGCTTTTTTTTTTGTCAACTTTTTTAACAATGTTGTACACATTTTAGGTCTTAGAATTAAAATCAATGTGTGCTTTTTTTTGGTCAACTTTTTTAACAATGTTGTACACATTTTAGGTCTTAGAATTAAAATCAATGTGTGCTTTTTTTTTGTCAACTTTTTTAACAATGTTGTACACATTTTAGGTCTTAGAATTAAAATCAATGTGTGCTTTTTTTTGTCAACTTTTTTAACAATGTTGTACACATTTTAGGTCTTAGAATTAAAATGAATGTGTGCTTTTTTTTTGTCAACTTTTTTAACAATGTTGTACACATTTTAGGTCTTAGAATTAAAATCAATGTGTGCTTTTTTTTTGTCAACTTTTTTAACAATGTTGTACACATTTTAGGTCTTAGAATTAAAATCAATGTGTGCTTTTTTTTGGTCAACTTTTTTAACAATGTTGTACACATTTTAGGTCTTAGAATTAAAATCAATGTGTGCTTTTTTTTGTCAACTTTTTTAACAATGTTGTACACATTTTAGGTCTTAGAATTAAAATCAATGTGTGCTTTTTTTTTGTCAACTTTTTTAACAATGTTGTACACATTTTAGGTCTTAGAATTAAAATCAATGTGTGCTTTTTTTTGGTCAACTTTTTTAACAATGTTGTACACATTTTAGGTCTTAGAATTAAAATCAATGTGTGCTTTTTTTTGTCAACTTTTTTAACAATGTTGTACACATTTTAGGTCTTAGAATTAAAATCAATGTGTGATTTTTTTTGGTCAACTTTTTTAACAATGTTGTACACATTTTAGGTCTTAGAATTAAAATCAATGTGTGCTTTTTTTTTGTCAACTTTTTTAACAATGTTGTACACATTTTAGGTCTTAGAATTAAAATCAATGTGTGCTTTTTTTTTTGTCAACTTTTTTAACAATGTTGTACACATTTTAGGTCTTAGAATTAAAATCAATGTGTGCTTTTTTTTGTCAACTTTTTTAACAATGTTGTACACATTTTAGGTCTTAGAATTAAAATCAATGTGTGCTTTTTTTTTGTCAACTTTTTTAACAATGTTGTACACATTTTAGGTCTTAGAATTAAAATCAATGTGTGCTTTTTTTTGTCAACTTTTTTAACAATGTTGTACACATTTTAGGTCTTAGAATTAAAATCAATGTGTGCTTTTTTTTGTCAACTTTTTACTTTCTCGTATATACGAAGTATAGAGAAAGTCTTGTAATCGTGCAAAAAAAAAAAATCGAGATTTTTGCAAATCTCGACGTTTTACATCTCACTGATACGGAAAAACATAATTTTGCAATCTTGTCCGTATGTCTGTGTGTCTGTGTGTGTGTGTGTCAGTGTGTAAACACGATAACTTGAGTACCGTTACAGCTAGGTTGATGAAATTTCATATATAAGTATTTTATCAAAATCGTAGATCCGTATCAACTTTTGAGCGATTTCCGATAACCTGAAGTGGTACTTTTTCTACTTTGAATTTTTCAAAAGCCTATAACTTGAGTACTATTTCAGATAGATAAATGAAATTTCACATGTAAGTAAAAGATCTAATTCTCTACCTTCTGTCAAATTTTGAGTAATTTCCGTTGACAGGAAGTACTTATTTACGCTATTTCCGATTTCTCAAAAAACGCATGTAAATTTATAAAGTACTAATAATATTGCGCACTATCATGCACATCTTTATTTAGCGTTCACTTGGTGTGCATTTCTTTTTTCTACGAGATTATATTCTATTTTAAAAAATTTGAGTAATTAAAATGGATTAAAAATCATGTCTAGAAGTCTATATCCCGAGTTGCCATCCCCCATAGTGTTATATTAGAATATTCGAGAAAGTTTAGGGGAGATCACTCCCGGTTTATTTAACAATGTTGTACACATTTTAGGTCTTAGAATTAAAATCAATGTGTGCTTTTTTTTTGGTCAACTTTTTTAACAATGTTGTACACATTTTAGGTCTTAGAATTAAAATCAATGTGTGCTTTTTTTTTGGTCAACTTTTTTAACAATGTTGTACACATTTTAGGTCTTAGAATTAAAATCAATGTGTGCTTTTTTTTTTGTCAACTTTTTTAAGAATGTTGTACACATTTTAGGTCTTAGAATTAAAATCAATGTGTGCTTTTTTTTTGTCAACTTTTTTAACAATGTTGTACACATTTTAGGTCTTAGAATTAAAATCAATGTGTGCTTTTTTTTTTGTCAACTTTTTTAACAATGTTGTACACATTTTAGGTCTTAGAATTAAAATCAATGTGTGCTTTTTTTTTGTCAACTTTTTTAACAATGTTGTACACATTTTAGGTCTTAGAATTAAAATCAATGTGTGCTTTTTTTTGTCAACTTTTTTAACAATGTTGTACACATTTTAGGTCTTAGAATTAAAATGAATGTGTGCTTTTTTTTGTCAACTTTTTTAACAATGTTGTACACATTTTAGGTCTTAGAATTAAAATCAATGTGTGCTTTTTTTTGGTCAACTTTTTTAACAATGTTGTACACATTTTAGGTCTTAGAATTAAAATCAATGTGTGCTTTTTTTTGTCAACTTTTTTAACAATGTTGTACACATTTTAGGTCTTAGAATTAAAATCAATGAGTGATTTTTTTTGGTCAACTTTTTTAACAATGTTGTACACATTTTAGGTCTTAGAATTAAAATCAATGTGTGCTTTTTTTTTGTCAACTTTTTTAACAATGTTGTACACATTTTAGGTCTTAGAATTAAAATCAATGTGTGCTTTTTTTTTTGTCAACTTTTTTAACAATGTTGTACACATTTTAGGTCTTAGAATTAAAATCAATGTGTGCTTTTTTTTGGTCAACTTTTTTAACAATGTTGTACACATTTTAGGTCTTAGAATTAAAATCAATGTGTGCTTTTTTTTGTCAACTTTTTTAACAATGTTGTACACATTTTAGGTCTTAGAATTAAAATCAATGAGTGATTTTTTTTGGTCAACTTTTTTAACAATGTTGTACACATTTTAGGTCTTAGAATTAAAATCAATGTGTGCTTTTTTTTTGTCAACTTTTTTAACAATGTTGTACACATTTTAGGTCTTAGAATTAAAATCAATGTGTGCTTTTTTTTGGTCAACTTTTTTAACAATGTTGTACACATTTTAGGTCTTAGAATTAAAATCAATGTGTGCTTTTTTTTTTGTCAACTTTTTTAACAATGTTGTACACATTTTAGGTCTTAGAATTAAAATCAATGTGTGCTTTTTTTTTTGTCAACTTTTTTAACAATGTTGTACACATTTTAGGTCTTAGAATTAAAATCAATGTGTGCTTTTTTTTTGTCAACTTTTTTAACAATGTTGTACACATTTTAGGTCTTAGAATTAAAATCAATGTGTGCTTTTTTTTGTCAACTTTTTTAACAATGTTGTACACATTTTAGGTCTTAGAATTAAAATCAATGTGTGATTTTTTTTGGTCAACTTTTTTAACAATGTTGTACACATTTTAGGTCTTAGAATTAAAATCAATGTGTGCTTTTTTTTTTGTCAACTTTTTTAACAATGTTGTACACATTTTAGGTCTTAGAATTAAAATCAATGTGTGCTTTTTTTTTTGTCAACTTTTTTAACAATGTTGTACACATTTTAGGTCTTAGAATTAAAATCAATGTGTGCTTTTTTTTTTGTCAACTTTTTTAACAATGTTGTACACATTTTAGGTCTTAGAATTAAAATCAATGTGTGCTTTTTTTTTGTCAACTTTTTTAAAAATGTAGTACAGATTTTAGGTCTTAAAATTAAAATCAATGCTTTGCTTTGCAAACAAAGGATCTAACTTATCCATATTTTAGATAAAACTTCTACTAGAAAGATGTCACATGGGTTGATCATCATTCAATATGTTAGAATACTAAAAATTATTCTCTTAAGTGAATTCTCACACATGTAAATAGTTCAGGTTTAAAGAAGATTTATAATTTAGTTGAATATTTTTGAAAGTGCAGTGAATATGGTGAATTTAGTAAATTATTTGATATTCTTTTGAATTAGTTTGGTTTGTGTAAATTTTGGTGGAATATTTTTGAAAGTGCAGTGAATATGGTGAATTTAGTAAATGATTTGACATTCTTTTGAATTAGTTTGGCTTGTGTAAATTTTGGTGGAATATTTCTGAAAGTGCAGTGAATATGGTGAATTTAGTAAATGATTTGACATTCTTTTGAATTAGTTTGGTTTGTGTAAATTTTGGTGGAATATTTTTGAAAGTGTAGTGAATATGGTGAATTTAGTAAATTATTTGATATTCTTTTGAATTAGTTTGGTTTGTGTAAATTTTGGTGGAATATTTTTGAAAGTGCAGTGAATATGGTGAATTTAAAAAATGATTAGACATTAGACACTGGGTAGGACTGACCTTGGTGCACCAGTCCTAACAAAGGTATGCTGAAGCTGTACTGGATGTAGGCTGATAGAAGCATGTTTCTGCCATTCTGGTCATTTTGCTCTTCCAGAATTTCATGGACCCTCAATACAAGCTGAGAAATGGCCTCAAAAGTGGCTTGTCCAACATTGACTGTAAACACATGCCAGAAAATCAAAGTTTGATCTCCATCATGATTCAATAATAGAAATTAGAACTCATTTATTCCATCAATCATGCAAACCAACCAATGGCAGAGAAGACTAGAAAGAAAAAAGTGAGACCAACCAATGGCAGAACAGACTAAAAAGAAAAAAGTGAGACCAACCAATGGCAGAGCAGACTAGAAAGAAAAAAGTGAGACCAACCAATGGCAGAACAGACTAAAAAGAAAAAAGTGAGACCAACCAATGGCAGAGCAGAAAGAAAAAAGTGAGACCAACCAAAAGCAGAGCAGACTAGAAAGAAAAAAGTGAGACCAACCAAAAGCAGAGCAGACTAGAAAGAAAAAAGTGAGACCAACCAATGGCAGACTAGAAAGAAAAAAAGTGAGACCAACCAATGGCAGAGCAGACTAGAAAGAAAAAAGTGAGACCAACCAATGGCAGACTAGAAAGAAAAAATGTGAGACCAAATAATGACAGAGCAGACTAGAAAGAAAAAAGTGAGACCAACCAATGGCAGAGCAGACTAGAAAGAAAAATGTGAGACCAAATAATGACAGAGCAGACTAGAAAGAAAAATGTGAGACCAAATAATGACAGAGCAGACTAGAAAGAAAAAAGTGAGACCAACCAATAGCAGAGCAGACTAGAAAGAAAAAAAGTGAGACCAACCAATGGCAGAGAAGACTAGAAAGAAAAAAGTGAGACCAACCAATGGCAGAGCAGACTAGAAAGAAAAAAAGTGAGACCAACCAATGGCAGAGAAGACTAGAAAGAAAAAAGTGAGACCAACCAATGGCAGAGCAGACTAGAAAGAAAAAAGTGAGACCAACCAATAGCAGAGCAGACTAGAAAGAAAAAAAGTGAGACCAACCAATGGCAGAGCAGACTAGAAAGAAAAAAGTGAGACCAACCAATGGCAGAGCAGACTAAAAAGAAAAAAGTGAGACCAACCAATGGCAGAGCAGACTAGAAAGAAAAAAGTGAGACCAACCAATGGCAGAGCAGACTAGAAAGAAAAAAGTGAGACCAACCAATGGCAGAACAGACTAAAAAGAAAAAAAGTGAGACCAACCAATGGCAGAGCAGACTAGAAAGAAAAATGTGAGACCAACCAATGACAGAGAAGACTAGATAGAAAAAAGTGAGACCAACCAATGGCAGACTAGAAAGAAAACAGTGAGACCAACCAATGGCAGAGCAGACTAGAAAGAAAAAAGTGAGACCAACCAATAGCAGAGCAGACTAGATAGAAAAAAGTGAGACCAACCAATGGCAGAGCAGACTAGAAAGAAAAAAGTGAGACCAACCAATAGCAGAGCAGACTAGATAGAAAAAAGTGAGACCAACCAATGGCAGAGCAGACTAGAAAGAAAAAAGTGAGACCAACCAATAGCAGAGCAGACTAGATAGAAAAAAGTGAGACCAACCAATGGCGGACTAGAAAGAAAAAAGTGAGACCAACCAATGACAGAGCAGACTAGAAAGAAAAAAGTGAGACCAACCAATGGCAGACTAGAAAGAAAAAAGTGAGACCAACCAATGGCAGACTAGAAAGAAAAAAAGTGAGACCAACCAATGGCAGACTAGAAAGAAAAAAGTGAGACCAACCAATGGCAGACTAGAAAGAAAAAATGTGAGACCAAATAATGACAGAGCAGACTAGAAAGAAAAAAGTGAGACCAACCAATGGCAGAGCAGACTAGAAAGAAAAATGTGAGACCAAATAATGACAGAGCAGACTAGAAAGAAAAATGTGAGAACAAATAATGACAGAGCAGACTAGAAAGAAAAAAGTGAGACCAACCAATAGCAGAGCAGACTAGAAAGAAAAAAAGTGAGACCAACCAATGGCAGAGAAGACTAGAAAGAAAAAAGTGAGACCAACCAATGGCAGAGCAGACTAGAAAGAAAAAAAGTGAGACCAACCAATGGCAGAGAAGACTAGAAAGAAAAAAGTGAGACCAACCAATGGCAGAGCAGACTAGAAAGAAAAAAGTGAGACCAACCAATAGCAGAGCAGACTAGAAAGAAAAAAAGTGAGACCAACCAATGGCAGAGCAGACTAGAAAGAAAAAAGTGAGACCAACCAATGGCAGAGCAGACTAAAAAGAAAAAAGTGAGACCAACCAATGGCAGAGCAGACTAGAAAGAAAAAAGTGAGACCAACCAATGGCAGAGCAGACTAGAAAGAAAAAAGTGAGACCAACCAATGGCAGAACAGACTAAAAAGAAAAAAAGTGAGACCAACCAATGGCAGAGCAGACTAGAAAGAAAAATGTGAGACCAACCAATGACAGAGAAGACTAGATAGAAAAAAGTGAGACCAACCAATGGCAGACTAGAAAGAAAAAAGTGAGACCAACCAATGGCAGAGCAGACTAGAAAGAAAAAAGTGAGACCAACCAATAGCAGAGCAGACTAGATAGAAAAAAGTGAGACCAACCAATGGCAGAGCAGACTAGAAAGAAAAAAGTGAGACCAACCAATAGCAGAGCAGACTAGATAGAAAAAAGTGAGACCAACCAATGGCAGAGCAGACTAGAAAGAAAAAAGTGAGACCAACCAATAGCAGAGCAGACTAGATAGAAAAAAGTGAGACCAACCAATGGCGGACTAGAAAGAAAAAAGTGAGACCAACCAATGACAGAGCAGACTAGAAAGAAAAAAGTGAGACCAACCAATGGCAGACTAGAAAGAAAAAAGTGAGACCAACCAATGGCAGACTAGAAAGAAAAAAGTGAGACCAACTAATGGCAGACTAGAAAGAAAAAAGTGAGACCAACCAATGGCAGACTAGAAAGAAAAAATGTGAGACCAAATAATGACAGAGCAGACTAGAAAGAAAAAAGTGAGACCAACCAATGGCAGACTAGAAAGAAAAAAGTGAGACCAACCAATGACAGACTAGAAAGAAAAAAGTGAGACCAACCAATGGCAGACTAGAAAGAAAAAAGTGAGACCAACCAATGGCAGACTAGAAAGAAAAAAGTGAGACCAACTAATGGCAGACTAGAAAGAAAAAAAGTGAGACCAACCAATGGCAGACTAGAAAGAAAAAATGTGAGACCAAATAATGACAGAGAAGACTAGAAAGAAAAAAGTGAGACCAACCAATGGCAGACTAGAAAGAAAAAAGTGAGACCAACCAATGACAGACTAGAAAGAAAAAAGTGAGACCAACCAATGGCAGACTAGAAAGAAAAAAGTGAGACCAACCAATGGCAGACTAGAAAGAAAAAAGTGAGACCAACCAATGGCAGACTAGAAAGAAAAAAAAAGTGAGACCAACCAATGGCAGACTAGAAAGAAAAAAGTGAGACCAACCAATGGCAGACTAGAAAGAAAAAAGTGAGACCAACCAATGGCAGACTAGAAAGAAAAAAGTGAGACCAACCAATGGCAGACTAGAAAGAAAAAAGTGAGACCAACCAATGGCAGACTAGAAAGAAAAAAGTGAGACCAACCAATGGCAGACTAGAAAGAAAAAAGTGAGACCAACCAATGGCAGACTAGAAAGAAAAAAGTGAGACCAACCAATGGCAGACTAGAAGGAAAAAAGTGAGACCAACCAATGGCAGACTAGAAAGAAAAAAGTGAGACCAACCAATGGCAGAGCAGACTGGAAAGAAAAAAGTGAGACCAACCAATGGCAGACTAGAAAGAAAAAAGTGAGACGACTAACCAGTGTTTGCTCCTATAACTGGTGGACGAACCATCAAACTGATTAATCTGTCCAGGATTAAGGGTAAAAACTGGACCAAGTTCTCTCCCTTTGCATTATTTACATCCATAATACTGCGCTTGAGCTCATTTTCAAAACCAATTTCATTCATTCTAGCTGGAATTTTTTGCTCTTGGACTGACGTGTACAAACTCATGAAACGGTCAATGTGTTCATCCTATTAAAAAATTGTGAAACAGCTATTTATTATATTTATATATTCTACATGACTTAAACAATTCCAGGCTCAAGGCAAATAACATCCTCACAAGACTCCACATAATATTACCTTGACAAAAATATTCTCAGACCATTTCTAGAATGTTAAAATATAACAAAATGAACAATTTTTCTGAACAAAAAATTCATTTGACCATATAACAGGCCCCTCCCCTTGCCTGATGTGAATGTCCACAAAAACTAAATAGTCCCCACCAAATGCAATAATAGTGTACTATACCATGCTAATAATTTAGGCCTTTATAGTGATTTATATTCACATTGAAAATGTCTGTTATATAAATAAAATGTAATGAAATGTCATAAAATGTCATGAAATATGAGTAGTCTTTATTTCATATATTGACCAAAAACAATTTTTTTAACATGTAACACAAAAAAAAAAGTGCATAGTTCCCATAAATAAAATGTCTTACATCTCTAGAAACAAATCAAGTGGGGATCATCTTTAATAACTTCTTCATTTATTGACTAGACTATCTAAATTGATTACCTGTGCAAAGACTGAAGAGACAGCTTTTATGGCAACAGTGAAGACTCCCTTGTGGTTGTCTACCCACTTCATGTTTAAGGGTGGTGCCTGGATAACACACATTTTTTAGGCGCGTTTTCTCAATCAACAACATACTTTCATTTTCTACAGGCTAACACATACTTTCATTCTTATACACAGACAGTACACAGACTTGTGCAATGGCCTCCTTTATGTTGGACAATGTTAACTTTTACGTGGACATTATTTTTATAGTACATTGTTTTGTAGTTTTATTTTGACTAGTTGTCGTAATTCTACATACACACTTGTCATAATCCAACAAAAATACTTGTCATAATCCAACAAATACGTCATTTTGTTTTAACAGAGTGATAGATTAGATTAGCATTAAAGTTGAGTAAATCTTTGAAAAGTCCGTAGGGCTGATGAAGTAGAGTTCATCTGTTTCTGAGACCTCTGCATATGAAGAAATACTATGGTCAGCACTATGCCCTGCAGCTTTTACTTTCCCAAACATAAGTGAGGTACCCATCTGAGCTGGGTGGGCTCAGGGATGTAAGGGCGCAAGCCCTGCATTCAGCAGTTGATAGGCAATTTTTCTACCACCCATGTAGCTATTTAGATGCTGCAACTGAAAAGGACTGGATTAAAAGCTGGCAATTTGCAACTGCTTTTTAAAATGAAATGCAAAGTCAACTACACAGAAAAAGAGCATGGAGTACGCACAATTACAAAGATGGATCAACTAAACAACAGCACAACTACAGAAAATATTATTGCCAAGATAAAGAATAAAAAACATTTTCACTTACGTCAGGATGGTGAAGGGAGTAGCCATTAGGGGGCTTCTCAATAGAAACAGGAAGGTTGAAGTCTCCTGTGATGAGTCGGCCATCACGGTACAAGGGCAGCCACTGTGGAGGTAGGGACTGACTGTTATATGGCAATAGGGACAACTAGCTATATAAGGGACTGACTGTTACATGGCAATAAGGACAACTAGCTATATAAGGGACTGACTGTTATATGGCAATAGGGACAACTAACTATATAAGGGACTGACTGTTATATGGCAATAGGGACAACTAACTATATAAGGGACTGACTGTTATATGGCAATAGGGACAACTAACTATATAAGGGACTGACTGTTATATGGCAATAAGGACAACTAGCTATATAAGGGACTGACTGTTACATGGCAATAGGGACAACTAGCTATATAAGGGACTGACTGTTATATGGCAATAAGCAAGAGGTAAGGACAACTAGCTATATAAGGGACTGACTGTTATATGGCAATAAGGACAACTAGCTATATAAGGGACTGACTGTTATATGGCAATAAGCAAGAGGTAAGGACAACTAGCTATATAAGGGACTGACTGTTATATGGCAATAAGGACAACTAGCTATATAAGGGACTGACTGTTATATGGCAATAAGGACAACTAGCTATATAAGGGACTGACTGTTACGTGTCAATAAAGGAGCTTAGCTAGTAGTCAGTTGGAAGGAAAGAAACAATACATTAAGCAAGAGGTAAGGACAACTAACAATATGTAGACCACAAGACTTACTGTGTAGCCCACGGGGACTTCTGTGGGGGTGGGCTCATTCTTCTTCACCTGACAACTGATGTGGTAGAAGGTAAACAACAGGTGATGGGTTTCTGTTATTTTGGCTGGAAGCTTGATCTTAACCTCAGCATAAAAATCTGGTGACCTGGAATACAAATAGTATCTTGTGACTGTTGTCACGATTCCCAGAGTTAGATGTCACATAACAAACTAGTAGCTGGCACAATTCCCAGAGTTAGATGTCACATAACAAACTAGTAGCTGGCACAATTCCCAGAGTTAGATGTCACAACAAAGCTATGAAGCTGGCACAATTCCCAGAGTTAGATGTCACAACAAAGCTATGAAGCTGGCACAATTCCCAGAGTTAGATGTGACATAACAAACTAGTAGCTGGCACAATTCCCAGAGTTAGATGTCACAACAAAGCTATGAAGCTGGCACAATTCCCAGAGTTAGATGTCACAACAAAGCTATGAAGCTGTAAAAGGGCCCTACTTGTTATGATAAGTAACTGCTGTCAGCACCTCCTTGGAGAACTCTGGGCAACTAGATTTACCAAAGATGACCTGGTCATGGAAGAAAAAAGGGAATCAGCTTGTTCAATCAATACAGGAGTTACAGTTACAGAAACTCAATCATTCAATCACTACAGGAGCCACAGTTACAGAAACTCAATCATTCAATCAATACAGGAGCCACAGTTACAGAAACTCAATCATTCAATCAATACAGGAGCCACAGTTACAGAAACTCAATCATTCAATCAATACAGGAGCCACAGTTACAGAAACTCAATCATTCAATCAATACAGGAGCCACAGTTACAGAAACTCAATCATTCAATCAATACAGGAGCCACAGTTACAGAAACTCAATCATTCAATCAATACAGGAGCCACAGTTACAGATACTCAATCATTCAATCAATACAGGAGCCACAGTTACAGAAACTCAATCATTCAATCAATACAGGAGCCACAGTTACAGAAACTCAATCATTCAATCAATACAGGAGCCACAGTTACAGAAACTCAATCATTCAATCAATACAGGAGCCACAGTTACAGAAACTCAATCATTCAATCAATACAGGAGCCACAGTTACAGAAACTCAATCATTCAATCAATACAGGAGCCACAGTTACAGAAACTCAATCATTCAACCAATACAGGAGCCACAGTTACAGAAACTCAACCATTCAATCAATACAGGAGCCACAGTTACAGAAACTCAATCATTCAATCAATACAGGAGCCACAGTTACAGAAACTCAATCATTCAATCAATACAGGAGCCACAGTTACAGAAACTCAATCATTCAATCAATACAGGAGCCACAGTTACAGAAATTCAATCATTCAATCAATACAGGAGCCACAGTTACCATCATTTAGAACAACACTTTTTTGGACCAATGTTGGGGAAATTAGAAAGGTTAATTTATAATGGATACCAAGGTACACGTAGGTGCCATTGACAGGTTGGGGACTAACTTACAGGTAAGGCATAATTCTCATCCTCTACTGACAGGAACTGTACTTTAACAGCTAAATTGCGGGCAGAACCTTGGCGATTGGTGAAGTTAAGGCTCTTAGGATACACATAAGCCAGATTTCTGTGAACATAAACTTACAAATGTAGTGATTGATATTGGCAAGTCTACAACACACATGATGATAGACAGGAGACAAATTCTGTAGGGTGTGAAGCAGTGCTGACCTGTAGACTGTGTATGGAACATAAACTTCCTTAGATGGGAACTCTAGCACTTCCTTGGTTGGCCGCCCTTTGTCATCTGGGTAAGGTTCAACTTTGAGAAGCTCTGGGGTCAAGGTGTAACGAGGCTCCTCAGGACAGGGTGAAATATCCAGTTTTAAAATGGCTAAGATGTCAAAGTTAAAGGGTTAAAAAGTCTAGAATTGCATTTTATGTTGAGTTTTTTAAAAAATGCATATATTCCTTATTGTGTCTAAGAAATAGGCTGCCAGTTGTTGAGAGTGTAAAGAAACCAACCTGGTATACATTTAACTCTCTTCAAAACAGAACTTGGCCTCTTGAGATCAGCCAAAAACTTGAATAAGTCATCGTCACTCAACTTGACACCTTCCTGTCAAACAAAGACGTCAGGATGTTGTCCTAGAGATCAGGTATCTTCCTACATTGTCAGACTGCCTACCCAACTATATCAGGTATCTTCCTACATTGTCAGACTGCCTGCCCAACTATATCAGGTATCTTCCTACATTGTCAGACTGCCTACCCAACTATATCAGGTATCTTCCTACATTGTCAGACTGCCTACCCAACTATTTTATAGTATCACTAACAGATTTTGTCCTAGAGATCAGGTATCTTCCTACATTGTCAGACTGCCTACCCAACTATATCAGGTATCTTCCTACATTGTCAGACTGCCTGCCCAACTATATCAGGTATCTTCCTACATTGTCAGACTGCCTACCCAACTATATCAGGTATCTTCCTACATTGTCAGACTGCCTACCCAACTATATCAGGTATCTTCCTACATTGTCAGACTGCCTGCCCAACTATATCAGGTATCTTCCTACATTGTCAGACTGCCTACCCAACTATATCAGGTATCTTCCTACATTGTCAGACTGCCTACCCAACTATATCAGGTATCTTCCTACATTGTCAGACTGCCTGCCCAACTATATCAGGTATCTTCCTACATTGTCAGACTGCCTGCCCAACTATATCAGGTATCTTCCTACATTGTCAGACTGCCTACCCAACTATATCAGGTATCTTCCTACATTGTCAGACTGCCTACCCAACTATATCAGGTATCTTCCTACATTGTCAGACTGCCTACCCAACTATATCAGGTATCTTCCTACATTGTCAGACTGCCTATCCAACTATATCAGGTATCTTCCTACATTGTCAGACTGCCTACCCAACTATATCAGGTATCTTCCTACATTGTCAGACTGCCTACCCAACTATATCAGGTATCTTCCTACATTGTCAGACTGCCTACCCAACTATATCAGGTATCTTCCTACATTGTCAGACTGCCTACCCAACTATATCAGGTATCTTCCTACATTGTCAGACTGCCTACCCAACTATATCAGGTATCTTCCTACATTGTCAGACTGCCTACCCAACTATATCAGGTATCTTCCTACATTGTCAGACTGCCTACCCAACTATTTTATAGTATCACTAACAGATTTTGTCCTAGAGATCACGTATCTTCCTACATTGTCAGACTGCCTACCCAACTATTTTATAGTATCACTAAATCAGCTACATTACACTCAAATTTATTCTAAAGAAATTGACTCATTGTGATTAGAACTTAGATCTAGATAGATCCTCATTAAAAAAAACACTTCTAAATTCAGAATGTAAGGTGACTTTCTCAAACAGCAGGTGTTCATGCTATAGGTCTAAACTACTGATATCTGATCATAGACCTACCACCTGCCTGACCTAACAATTCCCACCTGCCTGACCTAACAACTGACTTAACAACTGACCTAACAACTCCCACCTGCCTGACCTAACAACTGACCTAACAACTCCCACCAGCCTGAACTAACAACTGACCTAACAACTCCCACCTGCCTGACCTAACAACTCCCACCTGCCTGACCTGACAACTGACCTAACAACTCCCACCTGCCTGACCTGACAACTGACCTAACAACTCCCACCTGCCTGACCTAACACCAACTCCCACCTGCCTGACCCAACAACTCCCACCTGCCTGACCTAACAACTCCCACCTGCCTGACCCAACAACTGACCTAACAACTCCCACCTGCCTGACCTAACAACTCCCACCTGCCTGACCTAACAACTCCCACCTGTCTGACCTAACAACTCCCACCTGCCTGAACTAACAACTGACCTAACAACTCCCACCTGCCTGACCTAACAACTGACCTAACAACTCCCACCTACCTGACCTAACAACTCCCACCTACCTGACCTAACAACTCCCACCTGCCTGACCTAACAACTCCCACCTGCCTGACCTAACAACTCCCACCTGCCTGACCTGACAACTGACCTAACAACTCCCACCTGCCTGACCTAACAACTCCCACCTGCCTGACCTAACAACTCCCACCTACCTGACCTAACAACTGACCTAACAACTCCCACCTGCCTGACCTAACAACTCCCACCTGCCTGACCTAACAACTCCCACCTGCCTGACCTAACAACTCCCACCTGCCTGACCTAACAACTGACCTAACAACTCCCACCTGCCTGACCTAACAACTGACCTAACAACTCCCACCTGCCTGACCTAACAACTCCCACCTGCCTGACCTAACAACTCCCACCTGCCTGAACTAACAACTGACCTAACAAATCCCACCTGCCTGACCTAACAGCTGACCTAACAACTCCCACCTGCCTGAACTAACAACTGACCTAACAACTCCAACCTGCCTGACCTGACAACTGACCTAACAACTCCCACCTACCTGACCTGACAACTCCCACCTGCCTGACCTAACAACTCCCACCTGCCTGACCTAACAACTCCCATCTGCCTGACCTAACAACTGACCTAACAACTCCCACCTGCCTGACCTAACAACTGACCTAACAACTCCCACCAGCCTGAACTAACAACTGACCTAACAACTCCCACCTGCCTGACCTAACAACTCCCACCTGCCTGACCTGACAACTGACCTAACAACTCCCACCTGCCTGACCTGACAACTGACCTAACAACTCCCACCTGCCTGACCTAACAACTCCCACCTGCCTGACCTAACAACTCCCACCTGCCTGACCCAACAACTCCCACCTGCCTGACCTAACAACTCCCACCTGCCTGACCTAACAACTCCCACCTGCCTGACCCAACAACTGACCTAACAACTCCCACCTGCCTGACCTAACAACTCCCACCTGTCTGACCTAACAACTGACCTAACAACTCCCACCTGCCTGAACTAACAACTGACCTAACAACTCCCACCTGCCTGACCTAACAACTGACCTAACAACTCCCACCTACCTGACCTAACAACTCCCACCTACCTGACCTAACAACTCCCACCTGCCTGACCTAACAACTGCCACCTGCCTGACCTAACAACACCCACCTGCCTGACCTAACAACTCCCACCTGCCTGACCTGACAACTGACCTAACAACTCCCACCTGCCTGACCTAACAACTCCCACCTGCCTGACCTAACAACTCCCACCTACCTGACCTAACAACTGACCTAACAACTCCCACCTGCCTGACCTGACAACTGACCTAACAACTCCCACCTGCCTGACCTAACAACTCCCACCTGCCTGACCTAACAACTCCCACCTGCCTGACCTAACAACTGACCTAACAACTCCCACCTGCCTGACCTAACAACTCCCACCTACCTGACCTAACAACTGACCTAACAACTCCCACCTGCCTGACCTAACAACTCCCACCTGCCTGAACTAACAACTGACCTAACAACTCCCACCTGCCTGACCTAACGACTGACCTAACAACTCCCACCTGCCTGAACTAACAACTGACCTAACAACTCCCACCTGCCTGACCTGCAACTGACCTAACAACTCCCCCCTACCTGACCTAACAACTGACCTAACAACTCCCACCTGCCTGATCTAACAACTCCCACCTGCCTGAACTAACAACTGACCTAACAACTCCCTCCTGCCTGAACTAACAACTGACCTAACAACTCCCACCTGAATGACCTAACAACTGACCTAACAACTCCCACCTGCCTGAACTAACAACTAACCTAACAACTCCCACTTGCCTGACCTGACAACTGACCTAACAACTCCCACCTGCCTGACCTAACAACTCCCACCTGCCTGACAACTCCCACCTGCCTGACCTAACAACTCCCACCTGCCTGACCTAACAACTCCCACCTGCCTGACCTAACAACTGACCTAACAACTGACCTAACAACTCCCACCTGCCTGACCTAACAACTCCCACCTGCCTGACCTAACAACTGACCTAACAACTCCCACCTGCCTGACCTAACAACTCCCACCTGCCTGACCTAACAACTCCCACCTGCCTGACCTAACAACTCCCTCCTGCCTGACCTAACAACTGACCTAACAACTCCCTCCTGCCTGACCTAACAACTGACCTAACAACTCCCACCTGCCTGACCTAACAACTCCCACCTGCCTGACCTAACAACTGACCTAACAACTCCCTCCTGCCTGACCTAACAACTGACCTAACAACTCCCACCTGCCTGACCTAACAACTCCCACCTGCCTGACCTAACAACTCCCACCTGCCTGACCTAACAACTCCCACCTGCCTGAACTAACAACTGACCTAACAACTCCCACCTGCCTGAACTAACAACTGACCTAACAACTCCCACCTGCCTGACCTGACAACTGACCTAACAACTCCCACCTACCTGACCTAACAACTCCCACCTGCCTGACCTAACAACTCCCACCTGCCTGACCTAACAACTCCCACCTGCCTGAACTAACAACTGACCTAACAATTCCCTCCTGCCTGACCTAACAACTCCCTCCTGCCTGAACTAACAACTAACCTAACAACTCCCACCTGCCTGACCTGACAACTGACCTAACAACTCCCACCTGCCTGACCTGACAACTGACCTAACAACTCCCACCTGCCTGACCTAACAACTCCCACCTGCCTGACCTAACAACTCCCACCTGCCTGACCAAACAACTCCCACCTGCCTGACCTAACAACTCCCACCTGCCTGAACTAACAACTGACCTAACAACTCCCACCTGCCTGACCTAACAACTGACCTAACAACTCCCACCTGCCTGAACTAACAACTGACCTAACAACTCCCACCTGCCTGACCTGACAACTGACCTAACAACTCCCACCTACCTGACCTGACAACTCGCACCTGCCTGAACTAACAACTCCCACCTGCCTGACCAAACAACTCCCACCTGCCTGACCTAACAACTCCAACCTGCCTGAACTAACAACTGACCTAACAATTCCCTCCTGCCTGACCTAATAACTCCCTCCTGCCTGAACTAACAACTGACCTAACAACTCGGACCTGCCTGACCTAACAACTGACCTAACAACTCCCACCTGCCTGAACTAACAACTGACCTAACAACTCCCACCTGCCTGACCTGACAACTGACCTAACAACTCCCACCTGCCTGACCTGACAACTGACCTAACAACTCCCACCTGCCTGACCTAACAACTCCCACCTGCCTGACCTGACAACTCCCACCTGCCTGACCTAACAGCTCCCACCTGCCTGACCTAACAACTGACCTAACAACTCCCACCTGCCTGACCTAACAACTCCCACCTGCCTGACCTAACAACTCCCACCTGCCTGACCTAACAACTCCCACCTGCCTGAACTAACAACTGACCTAACAACTCCCACCTGCCTGACCTAACAACTGACCTAACAACTCCCACCTGCCTGAACTAACAACTGACCTAACAACCACCTGCCTGACCTGACAACTGACCTAACAACTCCCACCTACCTGACCTAACAACTGACCTAACAACTCCCACCTACCTGACCTAACAACTCCCACCTGCCTGACCTAACAGCTCCCACCTGCCTGACCTAACAACTCCCACCTGCCTGACCTGACAACTGACCTAACAACTCCAACCTGCCTGACCTAACAACTGACCTAACAACTCCCACCTACCTGATCTGACAACTGACCTAACAACTCCCACCTGCCTGACCTAACAACTCCCACCTGCCTGACCTAACAACTGACCTAACAACTCCCACCTACCTGACCTGACAACTGACCTAACAACTCCCACCTGCCTGACCTAACAACTCCCACCTGCCTGACCTAACAACTGACCTAACAACTCCCACCTGCCTGAACTAAAAACTGACCTAACAACTCCCACCTGCCTGAACTAACAACTCCCACCTGCCTGACCTAACAACTCCCACCTGCCTGAACTAACAACTGACCTAACAACTCCCACCTGCCTGACCTAACAACTCCCACCTGCCTGACCTGACAACTGACCTAACAACTCCCACCTGCCTGACCTAACAACTGACCTAACAACTCCCACCTGCCTGACCTAACAACTCCCACCTGCCTGACCTAACAACTCCCACCTACCTGACCTAACAACTGACCTAACAACTCCCACCTGCCTGACCTAACAACTCCCACCTGCCTGACCTAACAACTGACCTAACAACTCCCACCTGCCTGAACTAACAACTGACCTAACAACTCCCACCTGCCTGACCTAACAACTGACCTAACAACTCCCACCTGCCTGAACTAACAACTGACCTAACAACTCCCACCTGCCTGACCTGACAACTGACCTAACAACTCCCACCTGCCTGACCTAACAACTGACCTAACAACTCCCACCTGCCTGAACTAACAACTCCCACCTGCCTGAACTAACAACTCCCACCTGCCTGACCTAACAACTCCCACCTGCCTGACCTAACAACTCCCACCTGCCTGACCTAACAACTCCCACCTGCCTGACCTAACAACTCCCACCTGCCTGACCTAACAACTCCCACCTGCCTGACCCAACAACTGACCTAACAACTCCCACCTGCCTGACCTAACAACTCCCACCTGCCTGACCTAACAACTCCCACCTGCCTGACCTAACAACTGACCTAACAACTCCCACCTGCCTGACCTAACAACTGACCTAACAACTCCCACCTGCCTGACCTGACAACTCCCACCTGCCTGACCTAACAACTCCCACCTGCCTGACCTAACAACTCCCACCTGCCTGACCTAACAACTGACCTAACAACTCCCACCTGCCTGAACTAACAACTGACCTAACAACTCCCACCTGCCTGACCTAACAACTCCCACCTGCCTGACCTAACAACTCCCACCTGCCTGAACTAACAACTGACCTAACAACTCCCACCTGCCTGACCTAACAACTGACCTAACAACTCCCACCTGCCTGAACTAACAACTGACCTAACAACCACCTGCCTGACCTGACAACTGACCTAACAACTCCCACCTACCTGACCTAACAACTGACCTAACAACTCCCACCTACCTGACCTAACAACTCCCACCTGCCTGACCTAACAGCTCCCACCTGCCTGACCTAACAACTCCCACCTGCCTGACCTGACAACTGACCTAACAACTCCAACCTGCCTGACCTAACAACTGACCTAACAACTCCCACCTACCTGATCTGACAACTGACCTAACAACTCCCACCTGCCTGACCTAACAACTCCCACCTGCCTGACCTAACAACTGACCTAACAACTCCCACCTACCTGACCTGACAACTGACCTAACAACTCCCACCTGCCTGACCTAACAACTCCCACCTGCCTGACCTAACAACTGACCTAACAACTCCCACCTGCCTGAACTAAAAACTGACCTAACAACTCCCACCTGCCTGAACTAACAACTCCCACCTGCCTGACCTAACAACTCCCACCTGCCTGAACTAACAACTGACCTAACAACTCCCACCTGCCTGACCTAACAACTCCCACCTGCCTGACCTGACAACTCCCACCTGCCTGACCTAACAACTGACCTAACAACTCCCACCTGCCTGACCTAACAACTCCCACCTGCCTGACCTAACAACTCCCACCTACCTGACCTAACAACTGACCTAACAACTCCCACCTGCCTGACCTAACAACTCCCACCTGCCTGACCTAACAACTGACCTAACAACTCCCACCTGCCTGAACTAACAACTGACCTAACAACTCCCACCTGCCTGACCTAACAACTGACCTAACAACTCCCACCTGCCTGACCTAACAACTGACCTAACAACTCCCACCTGCCTGAACTAACAACTGACCTAACAACTCCCACCTACCTTACCTAACAACTCCCACCTACCTGACCTAACAACTCCCACCTGCCTGACCTGACAACTGACCTAACAACTCCCACCTGCCTGACCTAACAACTGACCTAACAACTCCCACCTTCCTGACCTGACAACTGACCTAACAACTCCCACCCCCTGACCTAACAACTCCCACCTGTCTGACCTAACAACTGACCTAACAACTCCCACCTGCCTGACCTAACAACTCCCACCTGCCTGACCTAACAACTGACCTAACAACTCCCACCTGCCTGACCTAACAACTCCCACCTGCCTGACCTAACAACTCCCACCTGCCTGACCTAACAACTCCCACCTGCCTGACCTAACAACTGACCTAACAACTCCCACCTGCCTGACCTAACAACTCCCACCTACCTGACCTGACAACTGACCTAACAACTCCCACCTGCCTGACCTAACAACTCCCACCTGCCTGACCTAACAACTGACCTAACAACTCCCACCTACCTGACCTGACAACTGACCTAACAACTCCCACCTGCCTGACCTAACAACTCCCACCTGCCTGACCTAACAACTCCCACCCCCTGACCTAACAACTCCCACCTGTCTGACCTAACAACTGACCTAACAACTCCCACCTGCCTGACCTAACAACTCCCACCTGCCTGACCTAACAACTGACCTAACAACTCCCACCTGCCTGACCTAACAACTCCCACCTACCTGACCTAACAACTGACCTAACAACTCCCACCTGCCTGACCTAACAACTGACCTAACAGCTCCCGCCTGGCTGACCTGACAACTGACCTAACAGCTCCCACCTGCACTGACCTAACAACTGACCTAACAACTCCCACCTGCCTGACCTAACAACTCCCACCTGCCTGACCTAACAACTCCCACCTGCCTGACCTAACAACTGACCTAACAACTCCCACCTGCCTGACCTAACAACTGACCTAACAACTCCCACCTGCCTGAACTAACAACTCCCACCTGCCTGACCTAACAACTGACCTAACAACTCCCACCTGCCTGAACAACTCCCACCTGCCTGACCTAACAACTGACCTAACAACTCCCACCTGCCTAACAACTCCCACCTGCCTGACCTAACAACTGACCTAACAACTCCCACCTGCCTGACCTAACAACTGACCTAACAACTCCCACCTGCCTTACCTAACAACTCCCTCCTGCCTGACCTAACAATTCCCACCTGCACTGACCATGGACAGGAAGAGATGGGGTAATTGTTGTGGATGATGCTTGTAAGTGAGAACTGGATGATACAGATGTAATTTGGACCAGCGAATTCAGGGGTTCCCAATCCCGTGCCTGCGGGCGCCATGGCGCCCGCCGAACGATTCGTATGTGCCCGCCTCTCACTATTCGACAGAGACAGAATTTTTTTATAAACATTATTGAATAGTTGAAGGGGATGGAAATCGAAAGTTTGAGGGGAGGGGGGTGCAAATCGAAAATTTGAGGGGGTGGGGGGTGCAAATCGAAAGTTAGAGGGGGGGGGGGTACAAATCGAAAGTTTTGTCCCCGGGTGACGGGAAGGGTCGCTACGCCTCTGGAAAGAGTTTGTCGATTTAAAATAGGTGGTGCCCGCCACCCTACCGATATTTTAGAATGTGCTCTAGAGTCAAAGAAGGTTGGGAACCCCTAAGCTAATTAAAAAAATGCTGACAGGAAATTAAAAAAAACCACAAGAAAAAATAAAACAAAAAAAAACCCACTAATTTACGTTAATGATCATTTTTATGGAAGGCCAAAGTGTAAGGCAATTGTGTAACCTGGGTGTGAAAATCATAAAATTACTGACCAAATGGTACAATCAAACAGCTCTGAGATTGTGACACGCATTCAGTATAGAAATATCTAAAACATCTACTGGCCAAGGAAACAACATGTAGAGCACTGAACTGGACAGACAAGGGGAGAGCACCGACCTGTTTAAAAAAGCTGGAAACTGTAAGAGTCACAGGCCTGAAGTTATCAAGCCTCGAACCATAATCATCTGGGGACCAACTGCGGAACTTCTCATAGCCACTCCGCCCCCGGTCAAGAGAGCCCCGCCTACCAGTGGAAATGTCATCCTTTGACCTCTTGCGGAAACTGTCAAACTGGCTGGTGCTAGGCCCTGTCCTGCGATCTACACACCAGGCAAAAAAATCTCATCAGTAACATCATGTGACTGCTGGCACCACTTTAAAGCTATTTTGGTGGGAAAAGCTTGACATAAAATAGTCACAAACAATAAAAGCAGAGAAAACTTGAATCAAGCAAAATATAGGAATGTTTGTACTCCATGCTTAGGAAAAGGGATGATTAAACCATTTCTAAAACTCATTCCATTCAGTTGATTAAACTAAAAATGGACTCAATTGGTGTATTTAGTAGCCATACATGAGGCTTGAAAATAAATTGCTCAAAAATGTTAACCTACAAATACACTAAATAGATTTTTAAAATTTGATATACATTACATTTTCCAAAATAACATACATGATTTTAAAACATAATAGCAAACTTTTCCATGCTCCACGCCATCATTGCCTAGCCTAGACTGCAGTGTACATCAAGTGAGAGCCTGATATTTATGGAAACATTCCCCTAGCAGGAATGTACTGCCCTCTAGGCTGGTGCATCAAATATACAGTTAACATCTAGCAATATGGAAGAACCTCTGCAGCAGTAGAGAATCCTTGGGTCTGATAACAACTGTCATAAGACCAGCATGTTGGTACACAAGTCATTACACACCAACAAACATGCCACCAAGTCAATACATTGATTGCATGCCAAATTTTTTAGAAATCTTTTATTTACTTTTGGCAGGGAAAGGTTCAACACTAATTAAAAACTGTCCCCATCCTACCAAATGAATACAATAGAGAAATGTTCATGCTGGAAATGACATTATCATTTGGAGCAGGTACATAACACTTGACAAAATGGGTGCTAGACAGCTAATGGAAACAGGCATAAATAGCAGGAGTTGTCTCCCATCTCAGCTAGTCTTATACCTGTACTATTGACTTACTATCAACAGTATCTGTAGCCTCATATAGATAGGTGTTACAAGACTAACAACCTTTTGCTTTTACTTGCATTGCTATCTTGTTACTCTCTCGTAGACACAGTCAAGAGAAAGTCATTGCTATCTTGTTACTCTCTCATAGACACAGTCAAGAGAAAGTCATTGCTATCTTGTTACTCTCTCGTAGACACAGTCAAGGGAAAGTCATTGCTATCTTGTTACTCTCTCATAGACACAGTCAAGAGAAAGTCATTGCTATCTTGTTACTCTCTCGTAGACACAGTCAAGGGAAAGTCATTGCTATCTTGTTACTCTCTCATAGACACAGTCAAGAGAAAGTCATTGCTATCTTGTTACTCTCTCGTAGACACAGTCAAGAGAAAGTATTGTAATATCATGCAGAAATGAAATTTTAATAGTTTTTTGCCATTATAAGCCTCCCGACTGTATTGTGTACAGAATTTAACACCATGTGGTAATCGTGTCAAAATCTAAACCAACATTTTGTGAAATGTTCATGTTTTATAACCTTCCGGAGCTGGGAAGTTTCAGTTATGTTGACCACAGTTCATGTATAAGTATTATATCAAATTTGTAGTTTTCTATCAACTTTAAAGCAGTATCAGGTAACTAGAAATGATACATACTCTACTTCTGGTCTCTCAAAAGCTGATAATTTGAGTACCATTAAAGTTAGGAAGACTAAATGTCAAACATAAATGTTAGATTGAATGCAAAGGTTCCTTTCAACTTGCGTACAATTTTCAATAACAGGAAGTAGTATGTTGCTTTATATCCTTGGGAACATGATAACTTGAATAAAGCTTCAGTTAAGTAGACAAAATTTCAAATATAAGATCTTATACTTTAATTGCTCTTAAATTTTGAGTGACCTCTATACTTTATTTTTGGTTCTAAAATACAGATAACGTTTTATAATTAGGTAAAAAATCTTTTTCTCTTGATTAATTTGGTCAAATTTAGAAAGATCTCCTGGAAGTAGTTGTCTGTATTTCCAAAAACTTTTCACGTAGGTTCACTGTGACATAAAATGTGACTTAGAAGTTTATTTCCTTTTTTTTTTAAGTTTCTTTACAAACTTCTAATTTTCTGTTCAATTATGTACAAAATGTTTATGTTCATTTAGTGGTCAATTCTTTTTTCTACTCGATTCATTTCTATTTTTTTAAATTTAATTTAGAAATTAATTTAAAAAAACATTTCTAAGCCTGCTTGCACTGTAAGTGCCATTTCCCCTTACTGTTACAGAAGAATATACTGGAAAATTTAGGGGAGATCACTCCCACTTTATGTTTTATATAGAAGAGATCAAGCCACACCAGTGACAAAAAAGAATCACTATGTTGTCATATGCAGCTGTCCCTCATGCACACACACTGATAAGAAACCTACATCCACCAAATATTTGGCTAGCAGATAGAAAGGTTTATCTATACTACACAATGGTAGCCCATTATTTAGGTGCAATGAATGAGAATTGTGATTTAGTTAGCAAGAACACTAAACACCTGTCTAGTAGCTATAGTATAATCAGTCAGATCCATTATGAAAAGCTTTAACAAACTCTAAGTGAAATATACTGAAGATGGATCTAATTAAGAAAGACAATATGAACAGGTGTAATTGTCAGGAAGAAATATTAGTACATATGGTTTGAGTTAGCTAAATAAAAAGAGTGACTATAGGGGAGAGTTAAGCTATGTGCTAATGAAGATAGCTGTAGAAGATGTTAGTTTTCTACACTTGGACTAGCTAGTATTTGGTGGATACATCTAGCACACACTGATCAAAGAGAAATCTGATAGACATGAAATGTAAGGGACTTACCATTGGAACCTGCATCTAATGACAGAAGTTGATGATCAGATGAGGAGCTACCATTTAAAACACAATGCTCTACATAGTCATTAGACTAAAGGGTCAGTAATAAAAAACATCACTCTCTTGGGGGAGTGGGGGATGATGACAATGTGTGGCATTTGTTTGGGGGGGGGGGTTAAGAAATGGGAAATCACACAGTTGCAATTAAAACAGTAATTTTAACAGTTATTTTGTAATTTTTATAGATGTTTTCTCTTATTATGATTTTTAAAAATGAATCTACTTGGCCTAGCTAGATTGAAAATGATTTGGGACAAAATGATGTTTTGATTTTTGTGGACGGGAAAATTGAAGTGTGATATGATTTGAGTGGGTGTTGGGCTTTTTGTAACCCAGAGTAAAAAACTACATGCCATTTATGGACAACTCCTTAACATCAGACTGAATTGTATCATGTCAGACAGGAACGTTTCACACAATGACAGCAGACAGATACAACACAATGACAGCAGACAGATACAACACAATGACAGCAGACAGATACAACACAATGACAGCAGACAGATACAACACAATGACAGCAGATACAACACAATGACAGCAGACAGATACAACACAATGACAGCAGACATATAACACAATGACAGCAGACAGACACAATGACAGCAGACAGATACAACACAATGACAGCAGACAGATACAACACAATGACAGCAGATACAACACAATGACAGCAGACAGATACAACACAATGACAGCAGACAGATACAACACAATGACAGCAGACAGATACAACACAATGACAGCAGACAGATACAACACAATGACAGCAGATACAACACAATGACAGCAGATACAACACAATGACAGCAGACAGATACAACACAATGACAGCAGACAGATACAACACAATGACAGCAGATACAACACAATGACAGCAGACAGATACAACACAATGACAGCAGACAGATACAACACAATGACAGCAGATACAACACAATGACAGCAGACAGATACAACACAATGACAGCAGACAGATACAACACAATGGCAGCAGATACAACACAATGACAGCAGACAGATACAACACAATGACAGCAGACAGATACAACACAATGACAGCAGATACAACACAATGACAGCAGACAGATACAACACAATGACAGCAGACAGATACAACACAATGACAGCAGATACAACACAATGACAGCAGACAGATACAACACAATGACAGCAGACAGATACAACACAATGACAGCAGACAGATACAACACAATGACAGCAGACAGATACAACACAATGACAGCAGATACAACACAATGACAGCAGATACAACACAATGACAGCAGACAGATACAACACAATGACAGCAGACAGATACAACACAATGACAGCAGATACAACACAATGACAGCAGACAGATACAACACAATGACAGCAGACAGATACAACACAATGGCAGCAGATACAACACAATGACAGCAGACAGATACAACACAATGACAGCAGACAGATACAACACAATGACAGCAGACAGATACAACACAATGACAGCAGACAGATACAACACAATGACAGCAGACAGATACAACACAATGACTGCAGACAGATACAACACAATGACAGCAGACAGATACAACACAATGACAGCAGACAGATACAACACAATGACAGCAGATACAACACAATGACAGCAGACAGATACAACACAATGACAGCAGACATATAACACAATGACAGCAGACAGACACAATGACAGCAGACAGATACAACACAATGACAGCAGACAGATACAACACAATGACAGCAGATACAACACAATGACAGCAGACAGATACAACACAATGACAGCAGACAGATACAACACAATGACAGCAGACAGATACAACACAATGACAGCAGACAGATACAACACAATGACAGCAGACAGATACAACACAATGACAGCAGATACAACACAATGACAGCAGACAGATACAACACAATGACAGCAGACATATAACACAATGACAGCAGACAGATACAACACAATGACAGCAGATACAACACAATGACAGCAGACACAACACAATGACAGCAGACATATAACACAATGACAGCAGACAGACACAATGACAGCAGACAGATACAACACAATGACAGCAGATACAACACAATGACAGCAGATACAACACAATGACAGCAGACAGATACAACACAATGACAGCAGACAGATACAACACAATGACAGCAGACAGATACAACACAATGGCAGCAGATACAACACAATGACAGCAGATATAACACAATGACAGCAGACAGATACAACACAATGACAGCAGATACAACACAATGACAGCAGACAGATACAACACAATGACAGCAGACAGATACAACACAATGACAGCAGACAGATATAACACAATGACAGCAGATACAACACAATGACAGCAGACAGATACAACACAATGACAGCAGACAGATACAACACAATGACAGCAGACAGATACAACACAATGACAGCAGACAGATACAACACAATGACAGCAGACAGATATAACACAATGACAGCAGACATATAACACAATGACAGCAGACAGATACAACACAATGACAGCAGACAGATACAACACAATGACAGCAGACAGATACAACACAATGACAGCAGATACAACACAATGACAGCAGACAGATACAACACAATGACAGCAGACAGATACAACACAATGACAGCAGACAGATACAACACAATGACAGCAGACAGATACAACACAATGACAGCAGACAGATACAACACAATGGCAGCAGATACAACACAATGACAGCAGACAGATACAACACAATGACAGCAGACAGATACAACACAATGACAGCAGACAGATACAACACAATGACAGCAGACAGATACAACACAATGACAGCAGACAGATACAACACAATGACAGCAGACAGATACAACACAATGACAGCAGACAGATACAACACAATGACAGCAGACAGATACAACACAATGACAGCAGATACAACACAATGACAGCAGACAGATACAACACAATGACAGCAGACAGATACAACACAATGACAGCAGACAGATACAACACAATGACAGCAGACAGATACAACACAATGACAGCAGACAGATACAACACAATGGCAGCAGATACAACACAATGACAGCAGACAGATACAACACAATGACAGCAGACAGATACAACACAATGACAGCAGATACAACACAATGACAGCAGACAGATACAACACAATGACAGCAGACAGATACAACACAATGACAGCAGACAGATATAACACAATGACAGCAGACAGATACAACACAATGACAGCAGACAGATACAACACAATGACAGCAGACAGATACAACACAATGACAGCAGATACAACACAATAACAGCAGACAGATACAACACAATGACAGCAGACAGACACAATGACAGCAGACAGATACAACACAATGACAGCAGACAGATACAACACAATGGCAGCAGATACAACACAATGACAGCAGACAGATACAACACAATGACAGCAGACAGATACAACACAATGACAGCAGACAGATACAACACAATGACAGCAGACAGATACAACACAATGACAGCAGACAGATACAACACAATGACAGCAGACAGATATAACACAATGACAGCAGACAGATACAACACAATGACAGCAGACAGACACAATGTATGCTTGACAAATGGCATAAAGACAAACAAAACAAAGACACATTAACTTCCACATGTACAAGCTATTATTAAATGTACGTTTTACAACATGTATTGTTTATGTAGATATGAAAAATGTTCATACAACAAATTATTTGATTAATTGATGAATTTATCAGCTGAAGGCTCAATGTCCCTTTATTATAAAAAATAAATCTAAAAATTAAATGAAACAATGCTGCTTTTTTTTTTTAATTTCTGAAATTAAAAACTACTTTATGCACAAAAACTTGTGGAAAAACAAAACATCCACCAATTTAAGGAAACTAACAAAAGATTTTTTTAAAGTAAGAAAATAATGTAAGCAAACTATTTTAGTAGATTTAGCAGGGTACACAAGAAATGTATCTTCTTAAAGAATGAACCACTTGAGTTAAGCTAATGTTGGAGAAGTGGTGTAGGCAGTACACGTGTGAGTACCCTGGTGACTCACCTAGGCTTGCAGCTCGAGACATTTCATGCTCTGTTGTCTTCTCTACACTGGCCTCACGAGTTCTCTTCTCCACACTGGCTTCTCTCCCTTCCCTTCTCCCCTCCCTCTCCATACTGCCCCCATTGACTATGTTCATCAGATAGATGGCAGTCCAGGCAAAGGGCATGCGGTATTTGCCCAGTCTGTCACAGAACTGAACAGCTTGGCTTCTATACTTGTCTTCTTTTGATGCCTGAAACATACATAGTTAACTCATACACCAACACAGCTTGGCTTCTATACTTGTATTCTTTTGATGCCTGAAACATACATAGTTAACTCATACACCAACACAGCTTGGCTTCTATACTTGTCTTCTTTTGATGCCTGAAACATACACCAACACAGTTAGTCAAGTCACACACCAACACAGCTTGGCTTCTATACTTGTCTTCTTTTGATGCCTGAAACATACACCAACACAGCTAGTAAACTCATACACCAACACAGCTAGTAAACTCATACACCAACACAGCTAGTAAACTCATACACCAACACAGCTAGTAAAGTCATACACCAACACAGCTAGTTAACTCATACACCAACACAGCTAAAAAAGTCATACACCAACACAGCTAAAAAAGTCATACACCAACACAGCTAATAAAGTCATACACCAACACAGCTAAAAAAGTCATACACCAACACAGCTAATAAACTCATACACCAACACAGCTAAAAAAGTCATACACCAATCAATTACTGGTAAAATGGAGTAAAAATTGAACAAAAAGCTAACTGTTTGAGACTTACTATATCTTCTTTTAAATAAGGTTCAGCACATTCATTGATGTCACCCTGTTGTAGAACTTTCTCAAGCTGCAAATACAACATTGTCTTAATGTCATTTTACAACTCGCAAAAATACAACATTCTGTCTTAATGTCATTTCACAACTCATAAAAATACAATTTTTCTTTTTTTGCATCATCAAGCAGGTAAAAAAATAATATTCTAATATTTATGACTAGCAGATGCATAACTAGGTTTTTTATGTATGAGAGAAGGCCTTAAAAGGCATCTACATTTCACTCCAGTTGGCTTGTTTTAACTTTTAGACAAATTATTCTATAAAAAGGGGGGGCATTGTCCTAAAACTTGCTCCACAAGGTAAACATGAGGTGAAGGATATGTGATGCTGAAGATGGTATGACAGTACCTTGACAACAAGGAAAACATCAGGCGAAGGATATGTGATGCTGAAGATGGTATGACAGTACCTTGACAACAAGGAAAACATGAGGTGAAGGATATGGGATGCTGAAGATGGTATGACAGTACCTTGACAACAAGGTAAACATGAGGTGAAGGATATGTGATGCTGAAGATGGTATGACAGTACCTTGACAACAAGGAAAACATCAGGTGAAGGATATGGGATGCTGAAGATGGTATGACAGTACCTTGACAACAAGGAAAACATGAGGTGAAGGATATGGGATGCTGAAGATGGTATGACAGTACCTTGACAACAAGGTAAACATGAGGAGAAGGATATGGGATGCTGAAGATGGTATGACAGTACCTTGACAACAAGGAAAACATCAGGCGAAGGATATGTGATGCTGAAGATGATATGACAGTACCTTGACAACAAGGAAAACATCAGGTGAAGGATATGTGATGCTGAAGATGGTATGACAGTACCTTGACAACAAGGAAAACATCAGGTGAAGGATATGTGATGCTGAAGATGGTATGACAGTACCTTGACAACAAGGAAAACATGAGGTGAAGGATATGGGATGCTGAAGATGGTATGACAGTACCTTGACAACAAGGAAAACATGAGGTGAAGGATATGGGATGCTGAAGATGGTATGACAGTACCTTGACAACAAGGAAAACATGAGGTGAAGGATATGGAATGCTGAAGATGGTATGACAGTACCTTGACAACAAGGTAAACATGAGGTGAAGGATATGGGATGCTGAAGATGGTATGACAGTACCTTGACAACAAGGAAAACATGAGGTGAAGGATATGGGATGGTGAAGATGGTATGACAGTACCTTGACAACAAGGTAAACATGAGGTGAAGGATATGTGATGCTGAAGATGGTATGACAGTACATTGACAACAAGGAAAACATCAGGCGAAGGATATGTGATGCTGAAGATGGTATGACAGTACCTTGACAACAAGGAAAACATGAGGTGAAGGATATGTGATGCTGAAGATGGTATGACAGTACCTTGACAACAAGGTAAACATGAGGTGAAGGATATGTGATGCTGAAGATGGTATGACAGTACCTTGACAACAAGGAAAACATCAGGTGAAGGATATGTGATGCTGAAGATGGTATGACAGTACCTTGACAACAAGGAAAACATGAGGTGAAGGATATGTGATGCTGAAGATGGTATGACAGTACCTTGACAACAAGGAAAACATCAGGTGAAGGATATGTGATGCTGAAGATGGTATGACAGTACCTTGACAACAAGGAAAACATCAGGCGAAGGATATGTGATGCTGAAGATGGTATGACAGTACCTTGACAACAAGGAAAACATCAGGCGAAGGATATGGGATGGTGAAGATGGTATGACAGTACCTTGACAACAAGGAAAACATCAGGTGAAGGATATGTGATGCTGAAGATGGTATGACCAGGGTTCGTACTGCTTTTTGAAAATGAAATTCCAGACTTTTTCCAGACATATTCCAGACTTTTTTGGAAAAATTCCAGACTTTAGACATAATGTGTTAGCGAATAATTTTTAAAAAATTGATGCACTATTTGTACTGTCATTATAATTACTTATACTAAATTGACATTTATTTTAGGCAATTGAGCTATATTCATATTGAACTTTCTCTAACCAAATTGACAGAAAATCACTTTTCTAAGTTTGCCTACTCCACTCCACCTAAAATGTTAATAATTAAAATAATTGATTAAAATGGTGCAGCTATTTTGTTTTAAACATTAGACTTATATAATCTGTTCCTGATCTAATTGCTTATGTTTTCAATTAAACTATCATTAAAATGGTATTGCATAATAGTGAGAGTTAATTACTTTAAAGAATAATAATGTAATGTATTAATTTAGGTCTGCTCTTGTTAAGTAGCCTAAATAAATATAGGCTACTTGTAAAAAAATGTGGAGAAAAAAAAAAGCCACATCATTCACTGTTTGTGCTTATAGTAATAGCTGAGAAACGGGTCTGCAATAAAAAAAAAAGCCGGTATCCTCCCCCCCCCCCCCAGACACACACAACACGGTGAAGGGGTCACTGTGAGGTCATAGTAGTCTAGGCTTCAGTGTGCCTGTTTAATACGTCATAACATGAACTGTGCTGTGACTTATACACCCTCCCCCACCCAACGTACCAAGCAGTACCAACTACCCACTTGGGGTCACGGTGAGTTCACACAAGTGACCGATGTTACAAGGAGGGGTGGGGTAGTCTAACTTTAATCGTCAGCATTTGCAAAGATTTCAAAAACAGTTTAATGGAAGGTGGATTAAAATTAAAGGGGTCATCCCATTATGACGTACACATGGAGGGGGGAAAGGGGTCGGAAGATTTTGTGATTACATTCTAAAACAAACATAAAACGTGTATCTTGCGAGTAGAAAGTAAAATTAAGACGACTGTGCTGGTGTTTTAAAAACCATCACAGCATGTAAATAAAACACGGTATTTATATCTGCTCTAACATTATTGCAAGAGCGTGTCATCACACTTTATAAAACCCTCCTCCCGACTTTACGGAGTGTGACGTCATTTATGGACGACTCCTAAATAAAAATAGTACCTCTTTGTTAAGCTGAAGCAAACAGAAATACAGGTATGAACCCAAGGAGGCCTTGCGACTTATTAATCTTATAAATGCTAATATTAATCCGAAGTAAGTGAACGCGTGTGGACAGAGGGCGGGGGGGGGGGGGGGGGGGGGGTCTAAAATCCGAAAAATTGTTGTGTCATAAATGGATGACGCCTTACAGACTGATACATTATATCTAAACTACCACTCACATATCTCTCCCATAACTTTTTGTTATGACTGCCTGCATGCAAACTCAAACGATGAAAAAATAGCGGGTAAAAAATCGAGAGCCTAACAATTCTGAGGGCGATCATTCTTTCATTAAATGACAATTGTAAGTACTTGTAACACATTCACACGGTCAGTCGCGCCACAAAATATCTCTTCCCTCCCTCTCCCTCTTGTCCCAATGACGTAGTAACTGAGCATCCGCTTTTTTTCTGCGAACCAGCGAAAAACGTCACAACACAGTGTAAACCCGTGCGATAGCGCGGGGAAAAAATTGTAGTAAATTCACTTAAAAAATCGCAATTTTTTATTTGGAAAATAAGGACTACGAAGTTTTGTTACTAAAACTAGATTCCAGACTTTTTCCAGACTTTTAAAAAATCCAGCCCAAAAACTAGCGATTTTCCAGACTTTTTTAAGTCTTAAATTCACTTTTCTAAATTCAAGACTTTCCAGACTGCGTACGAACCCTGTATGACAGTACCTTGACAACAAGGAAAACATCAGGTGAAGGATATGTGATGCTGAAGATGGTATGACAGTACCTTGACAACAAGGAAAACATCAGGTGAAGGATATGTGATGCTGAAGATGCATGAGCGGCTGACTGAGGAGATGTCTGCATGACTCACATGACCACTGATGAGGCGTATGGTCTGGTCAGTGTTCAAATCAAAATGAAATGTCTCAGATATCTGTCAAGAGAAAACATTTGGTACAGATCAAGTACAAGTTGAGCTGGGTCAAGTGACTCTAATTAGAAAGGCGTGAGTAGTGCCAGTACCTTTTTCCTCTCTCTAGAATCATACAACGCCATGGAAACAAAAATTGGTTCAACATCCATCTCCAAACTGAAAATAAAGACTGGGTAGCATTACTTGTCTTCAAACTGAGTCACATAGTTGAGTTACAAAAATATATTCTCTAAACCCATTATTGACAATAACAGTTCAGGACATGTCAATGTAAAATATTTTTTAGGTTTTATATACATCAGCATATACAAAAATATGATGAATTACATATAATGATGAATTTCTCTACATGAAAAATCCAGGCTGAATATGAATGCCCTCATGACAAACAGTGTACAGTGTTGAGAACGTAGCCAATGTTATATCAATCAATACCTGTCACATGGTCAGACTGGAGAGAAAAATTATATAGTTGTACCCTCATCCTATGGGACGGAGTGGTCTAGCAGTAGTGAGCTGGACTGCTAACCCGTAAGTCTCCAGTTCGCATCCAAAGTCAGTAGACCGTCCCTGAGTCCACCCAACTCACGTTAGGGAGAGTAAAGGCGGTTGGGCATAGTGCTGACCACACTATCTCTTCATATGCCGAGGTCACAGAAACAAGTGAACTCTACTTCACTTGCCCCATAGACCGTCAGGTTTGAAAGGGAAACTTTACTTTTTTTACCCTCATCCTAAGGGAAACTTTACTTTTTTTACCCTCATCCTAAGGGAAACTTTACATTTTTTACCCTCATCCTAAGGGAAACTTTACTTTTTTTACCCTCATCCTAAGGGAAACTTTACATTTTTTACCCTCATCCTAAGGGAAACTTTACTTTTTTTACCCTCATCCTAAGGGAAACTTTACATTTTTTACCCTCATCCTAAGGGAAACTTTACTTTTTTTACCCTCATCCTAAGGGAAACTTTACATTTTTTACCCTCATCCTAAGGGAAACTTTACTTTTTTTACCCTCATCCTAAGGGAAACTTTACATTTTTTACCCTCATCCTAAGGGAAACTTTACATTTTTTACCCTCATCCTAAGGGAAACTTTACTTTTTTTACCCTCATCCTAAGGGAAACTTTACATTTTTTACCCTCATCCTAAGGGAAACTTTACATTTTTTACCCTCATCCTAATCAGCAACTAGTATATGCTGGTAGGGTGTAAATGTTGGTGTGTATATATATGTACATATATATATATGTACATATGTACATATATATATATGTACATATATATATATGTACATATATATATATGTACATATATATATATGTACATATGTACATATATATATACATATATATGTACATATATGTATATATATGTATATGTACATATATGTATATATATGTATATGTACATATATGTATATATATGTATATGTACATATATGTATATGTACATATATGTACATATATGTACATATATATATATATTTGTACATATATGTATATATATATGTATATATATATATATATCCTAATATATAAATGACAGACTGTCTTACTTGAGCTGTAAACACTTGACAAGAATTCTGTGGCCAAAATGTTCTTTAGGAACCTCAGGAGGACTTCTGCGCTCTACCACCTCTTCCTACAATAATCAACGCACAGAAGTAGACCATAACTCTACATACAACAGTAGACATATACCATTCACAATCCTCATAACTCTACAGTAGACATATACCATTCACAATTCTCATAACTCTACACACAGCAGTAGACATATACCATTCACAATTCTCATAACTCTACAGTAGACATATACCCTTCACAATTCTCATAACTCTACATACAACAGTAGACATAAACCATTCACAATCCTCAAAACTCTACAGTAGACATATACCATTCACAATTCTCATAACTCTACACACAGCAGTAGACATATACCATTCACAATTCTCATAACTCTACAGTAGACATATACCATTCACAATCCTCATAACTCTACACACAGCAGTAGACATATACCATTCACAATCCTCATAACTCTACTCTATGCTTGTTTCATACTTCCATATTTGCCCAAACTAGGAATAGCAGTTTTTTATGGTAGTTTAATACTTCCATATTTGCTCAAACTAGGAGTAGCAGTTTTTTAAGGTAGTTTCATACTTCCATATTTGCCCAAACTAGGAATAGCACAGTTTTTTATGGTAGTTTAATACTCCCATATATGCCCAAACTAGGAATAGCAGTTTTTTATGGTAGTTTAATACTTCCACATTTGCCCAAACTTGGAATAGCAGTTTTTTCACGGATGAAAAAAAGTCTTGATGGTAACGTGATTCTGAAGAGACTGGTCCAAGTGGGAAAATAATGTTTTATCAATGCTGTTTTCTAGTTGTTCTAACACTAACTAGTGCTTCATTTTTGTTACAAATTATTTCTGATCAATTGTTTTTTCTAAATTACAGCAATAAAATAGATGAAATTGAAACTAATAAATATGCCTCTGCTGTTGAATTGGTGTTTTTTTAATGTAACAAATACACTGAATTTTTTTAAAAAGTGGATCCATTTAAATGATTTTTAATTCAAGTATTAAAAGTTGTGTTTCGTTTTCATTTTTCTGTGATTAATATTATTTTTGTTAATTATTAATAAATTAATAGCCAATTGAATGAACTTCATACACAATAAACTTAGACCATTTTCTTGTAGAATGGTTTTTGTTTTATTTTTTTAACGTAGGTGGATAAAAAACTTAGACCATTTTCTTGTATAATGGTTTTTGTTTTATTTTTTTAACGTAGGTGGATGGCTTAAAATAATCTCTTTAAAAAAGTGATGAAGTTGAAAAATGAGTTGTCTTTTTTTTTGCCTAGCAGTATGAAAAGTAAAATTGTTTTTATGCCCAACCTGAATAGGGTTATTCTTAAAACTACGTGTATTATAAGACATTAACAGTAATACAACGTACAGCAAAATACATAAACTTGAACACAAAATACATAGGTTGAAATCTTCCTCTTATCTACATCAATTGACACAAGACATCTCCTAATGCACTTAGTGTGAATGAATGACAATAGAGAAAACTAAGAAAACAAACCTCGTCCTGAGGAGGGTACAAGCTGAAGATGTTGTCATAACGATTTTGCTGACGAATATTTTCATTGTTTCTATCAACTTCATCATATGTGATTCTATCAAACAAATTGGGCAGCAGGGTGTCGGCCTGGGACTGTTTGAGATCAAATATGGAGCTGGCCCAGCTGCCTCTGGGTGTCTCAGTCATGTGGATGGACTGGCGTTTGTTGGTGTCCTGCTAAGAGATGGTTACACATCACAAGACAAGCCCAGACAGCTGCTTTAATCCTTACCCCAAACATTTGTCACAAGCCCTGACAGCTGCTTTAATCCTTACCCCAAACATACATATCATTAAAAAATTCGAGTTTATGATACATGAAGCAAATGAAGTAGACTTTATCTGCTTCTCTGACCTTGACCTTGGAGGGATAGTGTGATTTACACCATATACAGCAGCCTTTACTTTCACTAATGTGTGTTAAGTACCCACTAAAGCTGGACACAGGGATGACCTTTGAACTCAAACACAAGAACTGAACTTGAGACGCTAGATCATCTAATCACCATAAACATCAATTTCATATTAATGTTCAAACAACTTATGTCTTACCTCCTCTCCCCGAAACTCTTCAACATCAATTTCATATTCATGTTGAAAGGTGTTGTGTTCTGGAAGGCGCTCTTTACTACATGCACTTGAACTGTAGCGTTGGTATCTTCACAAACAAGTAAGAAGCTATTCATAGCAAGATTACTTATACATTTAAGATCACTAGTAAATTTAAGATTTTTATCACATTTAAGATTACTAACACATTTTACAGCTGTGTGAAGAAATGGCAGTTTTTATACACAAAAACGGTAACAATTTAACTGTACAATATTAGAATAGAACCACTATAGTATTTACCACTATGGTGTCATACCTTCTAACAACTACAGAGTAGTCCGATGTATATCTGCGGACACAGTCTCTGACATGTGGGTCAACTTCAGACCTTTGGTGAAACAAAAAGACAATAGCAGTCAGTGCTTAAATAATAGTGTCCAATCCTACTGCAGTCAGTGCTTAAATAATAGTGTCCAATCCTACTGCAGTCAGTGCTTAAATAATAGTGTCCAATCCTACTGCAGTCAGTGCTTAAATAATAGTGTCCAATCCTACTGCAGTCAGTGCTTAAATAATAGTGTCCAATCCTACTGCAGTCAGTGCTTAAATAATAGTGTCCAATCCTACTGCAGTCAGTGCTTAAATAATAGTGTCCAATCCTACTGCAGTCAGTGTTTAAATAATAGTGTCCAATCCTACTGAAAAACACAAGCGTATCATACTCTGCTATTTGTTTTATTTTCTACTTTTCAGTACTTCATAGATAGTGAATTTGACTCTACCCTCCCTTCCACCCCCCCCCCCCCCTCGCGAAAGCAGCCGTCTGTGACGATAGTAACGGACAACAATGAAGCAGAACTTCTTACCTCTGCTTAGTTTCAAATCGTTTAAAAGCTAAATTATCTGCCCCTAATAGCCGTTACTAATTTTAACCCGGCTGTACGATTGTAAACATTCGAGGTGAACCTTAGCTCACCAGAATGGTGGGGGTGGTAGCTACACCTAGAGAGCAGGGTAGTAACGGCATGCAATTTTGTGGTGTCTCACATAGTCCCCATGAAGAGCTTTATATTAGATGGCTCCCAGTTTAAGTTAGTGGATACGCTTGATGTCTCAGTGTTCATTATCTGATTGGTTTAGTTTTAAAACTGCAGTATTTTAATGGTTGAGTGTTTGAAACTGTTAACTAAGTCAGTGGTTTGGTGTTTTAAAAAGTTAAAAAACAACACTGTTGCTTGAACTGTTAAAGATGTCAATGGTTTGTTGTTTGAAGCATTACAACTGTCAGTAGTTTGATGTTTGAAGTGTAACAAATGTCAGTAGTTTGATGTTTGAAGTGTAACAACTGTCAGTAGTTTGATGTTTGAAGTGTAACAAATGTCAGTAGTTTGATGTTTGAAGTGTAACAAATGTCAGTGGTTTGATGTGTGGAGTGTAACAATGTCAGTAGTTTGATGTTTGAAGTGTAACAAATGTCAGTGGTTTGATGTTTGAAGTGTAACAAATGTCAGTAGTTTGATGTTGAAGTGTAACAAATGTCAGTGGTTTGATGTTTGGAGTGTAACAAATGTCAGTGGTTTGATATTTGAAGTGTAACAAATGTAAGTGGTTTGATGTTTGAAGTGTAACAAATGTCAGTGGTTTGATGTTTGAAGTGTAACAAATGTCAGTAGTTTGATGTTTGAAGTGTAACAAATGTCAGTAGTTTGATGTTTGAAGTGTAACAAATGTCAGTAGTTTGATGTTGAAGTGTAACAAATGTCAGTTGTTTGATGTTTGGAGTGTAACAAATGTCAGTGGTTTGATGTTTGAAGTGTAACAAATGTCAGTGGTTTGATGTTTGAAGTGTAACAAATGTCAGTAGTTTGATGTTTGAAGTGTAACAAATGTCAGTGGTTTGATGTGTGAAGTGTAACAAATGTCAGTAGTTTGATGTTGAAGTGTAACAAATGTCAGTGGTTTGATGTTTGAAGTGTAACAAATGTCAGTAGTTTGATGTTGAAGTGTAACAAATGTCAGTTGTTTGATGTTTGGAGTGTAACAAATGTCAGTGGTTTGATGTTTGAAGTGTAACAAATGTCAGTGGTTTGATGTTTGAAGTGTAACAAATGTCAGTGGTTTGATGTTTGAAGTGTAACAAATGTCAGTGGTTTGATGTTTGAAGTGTAACAAATGTCAGTGGTTTGATGTTGAAGTGTAACAAATGTCAGAGGTTTGATGTTTGAAGTGTAACAAATGTCAGTATTGTCAGTGGTTTGATGTTTGAAGTGTAACAAATGTAAGTGGTTTGATGTTTGAAGTGTAACAAATGTCAGTGGTTTGATGTTTGAAGTGTAACAAATGTCAGTAGTTTGATGTTTGAAGTGTAACAACTGTCAGTAGTTTGATGTTTGAAGTGTAACAAATGTCAGTAGTTTGATGTTGAAGTGTAACAAATGTCAGTTGTTTGATGTTTGGAGTGTAACAAATGTCAGTGGTTTGATGTTTGAAGTGTAACAAATGTCAGTGGTTTGATGTGTGAAGTGTAACAAATGTCAGTAGTTTGATGTTGAAGTGTAACAAATGTCAGTGGTTTGATGTTGGAAGATTAACAAATGTCAGTAGTTTGATGTTGAAGTGTAACAAATGTCAGTTGTTTGATGTTTGGAGTGTAACAAATGTCAGTGGTTTGATGTTTGAAGTGTAACAAATGTCAGTGGTTTGATGTTTGAAGTGTAACAAATGTCAGTGGTTTGATGTTTGAAGTGTAACAAATGTCAGTGGTTTGATGTTTGAAGTGTAACAAATGTCAGTGGTTTGATGTTGAAGTGTAACAAATGTCAGAGGTTTGATGTTTGAAATGTAACAAATGTCAGTATTGTCAGTGGTTTGATGTTTGAAGTGTAACAAATGTCAGTGGTTTGATGTTTGAAGTGAAACAAATGTCAGTGGTTTGATGTTTGGAGTGTAACAAATGTCAGTGGTTTGATATGTGAAGTGTAACAAATGTCAGTGGTTTGATGTGTGAAGTGTAACAAATGTCAGTGGTTTGATGTGTGAAGTGTTACAAATGTCAGTGGTTTGATGTGTGGAGTGTAACAATGTCAGTGGTTTGATGTGTGGAGTGTAACAAATGTCAGTGGTTTGATATTTGAAGTGTAACAAATGTCAGTGGTTTGATGTTGAAGTGTAACAAATGTCAGTGGTTTGATGTGTGAAGTGTAACAAATGTCAGTGGTTTGATGTTTGCAGTGTAACAAATGTCAGTGGTTTGATGTGTGAAGTGTAACAAATGTCAGTGGTTTGATGTTTGAAGTGTAACAAATGTCAGTGGTTTGATGTGTGAAGTGTAACAAATGTCAGTGGTTTGATGTGTGAAGTGTAACAAATGTCAGTGGTTTGATGTTTGAAGTGTAACAAATGTCAGTGGTTTGATGTTGAAGTGTAACAAATGTCAGAGGTTTGATGTTTGAAATGTAACAAATGTCAGTATTGTCAGTGGTTTGATGTTTGAAGTGTAACAAATGTCAGTGGTTTGATGTTTGAAGTGAAACAAATGTCAGTGGTTTGATGTTTGGAGTGTAACAAATGTCAGTGGTTTGATATGTGAAGTGTAACAAATGTCAGTGGTTTGATGTGTGAAGTGTAACAAATGTCAGTGGTTTGATGTGTGAAGTGTTACAAATGTCAGTGGTTTGATGTGTGGAGTGTAACAATGTCAGTGGTTTGATGTGTGGAGTGTAACAAATGTCAGTGGTTTGATATTTGAAGTGTAACAAATGTCAGTGGTTTGATGTTGAAGTGTAACAAATGTCAGTGGTTTGATGTGTGAAGTGTAACAAATGTCAGTGGTTTGATGTTTGCAGTGTAACAAATGTCAGTGGTTTGATGTGTGAAGTGTAACAAATGTCAGTGGTTTGATGTTTGAAGTGTAACAAATGTCAGTGGTTTGATGTGTGAAGTGTAACAAATGTCAGTGGTTTGATGTGTGAAGTGTAACAAATGTCAGTGGTTTGATGTTTGAAGTGTAACAAATGTCAGTGGTTTGATGTTTGAAGTGTAACAAATGTCAGTGGTTTGATGTTTGAAGTGTAACATTTGTCACTGGTTTGATGTTTGAAGTGAAACAAATGTCAGTGGTTTGATGTTTGAAGTGTAACAAATGTCAGTGATTTGATGTTGAAGTGTAACAAATGTCAGTGGTTTGATGTGTGAAGTGTTACAAATGTCAGTGGTTTGATGTTTGAAGTGTAACAAATGTCAGTGGTTTGATGTTTTCAATGCCTCACCCTGGTTCTGGTCTGCTGGGTTCAAGGGTTCGACACTCTTTTTTAACTTTGTGAACTTGAATGTCATCCTCAGGATATAAGAGCAAGTCTTTGAATGGGTCTCTTTCCACCATACACTGGTTGTGTAGCACAAACTCTTCATAGTCCACAGGCTCAGGTGTGTCGTTCAATGGGACCTACAGTGACAGTTTATATCATTCAATGGGACCTACAGTGACAATTTATATCATTCAATGGGAACTACAGTGACAGTTTATATCATTTAATGGGACCTACAGTGACAGTTTATATCATTCAATGGGAACTACAGTGACAGTTTATATCATTCAATGGGAACTACAGTGACAGTTTATATCATTTAATGGGACCTACAGTGACAGTTTATATCATTCAATGGGAACTACAGTGACAGTTTATATCATTTAATGGGACCTACAGTGACAGTTTATATCATTCAATGGGAACTACAGTGACAGTTTATATCATTTAATGGGACCTACAGTGACAGTTTATATCATTCAATGGGAACTACAGTGACAGTTTATATCATTTAATGGGACCTACAGTGACAGTTTATATCATTCAATGGGACCTACAGTGACAGTTTATATCATTCAATGGGAACTACAGTGACAGTTTATATCATTTAATGGGACCTACAGTGACAGTTTATATCATTCAATGGGACCTACAGTGACAGTTTATATCATTCAATGGGAACTACAGTGACAGTTTATATCATTCAATGGGAACTACAGTGACAGTTTATATCATTTAATGGGACCTACAGTGACAGTTTATATCATTCAATGGGACCTACAGTGACAGTTTATATCATTCAATGGGAACTACAGTGACAGTTTATATCATTTAATGGGACCTACAGTGACAGTTTATATCATTCAATGGGACCTACAGTGACAGTTTATATCATTCAATGGGACCTACAGTGACAGTTTATATCATTCAATGGGAACTACAGTGACAGTTTATATCATTTAATGGGACCTACAGTGACAGTTTATATCATTCAATGGGAACTACAGTGACAGTTTATATCATTCAATGGGAACTACAGTGACAGTTTATATCATTTAATGGGACCTACAGTGACAGTTTATATCATTCAATGGGAACTACAGTGACAGTTTATATCATTTAATGGGACCTACAGTGACAGTTTATATCATTCAATGGGAACTACAGTGACAGTTTATATCATTTAATGGGACCTACAGTGACAGTTTATATCATTCAATGGGAACTACAGTGACAGTTTATATCATTTAATGGGACCTACAGTGACAGTTTATATCATTCAATGGGACCTACAGTGACAGTTTATATCATTCAATGGGAACTACAGTGACAGTTTATATCATTTAATGGGACCTACAGTGACAGTTTATATCATTCAATGGACCTACAGTGACAGTTTATATCATTCAATGGGAACTACAGTGACAGTTTATATCATTCAATGGGAACTACAGTGACAGTTTATATCATTTAATGGGACCTACAGTGACAGTTTATATCATTCAATGGGACCTACAGTGACAGTTTATATCATTCAATGGGAACTACAGTGACAGTTTATATCATTTAATGGGACCTACAGTGACAGTTTATATCATTCAATGGGACCTACAGTGACAGTTTATATCATTCAATGGGACCTACAGTGACAGTTTATATCATTCAATGGGAACTACAGTGACAGTTTATATCATTTAATGGGACCTACAGTGACAGTTTATATCATTCAATGGGAACTACAGTGACAGTTTATATCATTTAATGGGACCTACAGTGACAGTTTATATTATTCAATGGGAACTACAGTGACAGTTTATATCATCATTCAATGGGAACTACAGTGACAGTTTATATCATTCAATGGGAACTACAGTGACAGTTTATATCATTCAATGGGACCTACAGTGACAGTTTATATAACAGTTAAGAATACAGTTTCATGGGACCTACAGTGACAGTTAATATCATTTAATGGGACCTACAGTGACAGTTTATATCATTTAATGGGACCTACAGTGACAGTTTATATCATTCAATGGGACCTACAGTGACAGTTTATATCATTCAATGGGAACTACAGTGACAGTTTATATCATTTAATGGGACCTACAGTGACAGTTTATATCATTCAATGGGACCTACAGTGACAGTTTATATCATTCAATGGGAACTACAGTGACAGTTTATATCATTCAATGGGAACTACAGTGACAGTTTATATCATTTAATGGGACCTACAGTGACAGTTTATATCATTCAATGGGACCTACAGTGACAGTTTATATCATTCAATGGGAACTACAGTGACAGTTTATATCATTTAATGGGACCTACAGTGACAGTTTATATCATTCAATGGGAACTACAGTGACAGTTTATATCATTTAATGGGACCTACAGTGACAGTTTATATTATTCAATGGGAACTACAGTGACAGTTTATATCATCATTCAATGGGAACTACAGTGACAGTATATCATTCAATGGGAACTACAGTGACAGTTTATATCATTCAATGGGACCTACAGTGACAGTTTATATAACAGTTAAGAATACAGTTTCATGGGACCTACAGTGACAGTTAATATCATTTAATGGGACCTACAGTGACAGTTTATATCATTTAATGGGACCTACAGTGACAGTTTATATCATTCAATGGGACCTACAGTGACAGTTTATATCATTCAATGGGAACTACAGTGACAGTTTATATCATTTAATGGGACCTACAGTGACAGTTTATATCATTCAATGGGACCTACAGTGACAGTTTATATCATTCAATGGGAACTACAGTGACAGTTTATATCATTTAATGGGACCTACAGTGACAGTTTATATCATTCAATGGGACCTACAGTGACAGTTTATATCATTCAATGGGAACTACAGTGACAGTTTATATCATTTAATGGGACCTACAGTGACAGTTTATATCATTCAATGGGACCTACAGTGACAGTTTATATCATTCAATGGGACCTACAGTGACAGTTTATATCATTCAATGGGAACTACAGTGACAGTTTATATCATTTAATGGGACCTACAGTGACAGTTTATATCATTCAATGGGAACTACAGTGACAGTTTATATCATTTAATGGGACCTACAGTGACAGTTTATATTATTCAATGGGAACTACAGTGACAGTTTATATCATCATTCAATGGGACCTACAGTGACAGTTTATATCATTCAATGGGAACTACAGTGACAGTTTATATCATTCAATGGGACCTACAGTGACAGTTTATATAACAGTTAAGAATACAGTTTCATGGGACCTAAAGTGACAGTTAATATCATTTAATGGGACCTACAGTGACAGTTTATATCATTTAATGGGACCTACAGTGACAGTTTATATCATTCAATGGGACCTACAGTGACAGTTTATATCATTCAATGGGAACTACAGTGACAGTTTATATCATTTAATGGGACCTACAGTGACAGTTTATATCATTCAATGGGACCTACAGTGACAGTTTATATCATTCAATGGGAACTACAGTGACAGTTTATATCATTCAATGGGAACTACAGTGACAGTTTATATCATTTAATGGGACCTACAGTGACAGTTTATATCATTCAATGGGACCTACAGTGACAGTTTATATCATTCAATGGGAACTACAGTGACAGTTTATATCATTTAATGGGACCTACAGTGACAGTTTATATCATTCAATGGGACCTACAGTGACAGTTTATATCATTCAATGGGACCTACAGTGACAGTTTATATCATTCAATGGGAACTACAGTGACAGTTTATATCATTTAATGGGACCTACAGTGACAGTTTATATTATTCAATGGGAACTACAGTGACAGTTTATATCATCATTCAATGGGAACCACAGTGACAGTTTATATCATTCAATGGGAACTACAGTGACAGTTTATATCATTCAATGGGACCTACAGTGACAGTTTATATAACAGTTAAGAATACAGTTTCATGGGACCTACAGTGACAGTTAATATCATTTAATGGGACCTACAGTGACAGTTTATATCATTTAATGGGACCTACAGTGACAGTTTATATCATTCAATGGGACCTACAGTGACAGTTTATATCATTCAATGGGAACTACAGTGACAGTTTATATCATTTAATGGGACCTACAGTGACAGTTTATATCATTCAATGGGACCTACAGTGACAGTTTATATCATTCAATGGGAACTACAGTGACAGTTTATATCATTCAATGGGAACTACAGTGACAGTTTATATCATTTAATGGGACCTACAGTGACAGTTTATATCATTCAATGGGACCTACAGTGACAGTTTATATCATTCAATGGGAACTACAGTGACAGTTTATATCATTTAATGGGACCTACAGTGACAGTTTATATCATTCAATGGGACCTACAGTGACAGTTTATATCATTCAATGGGACCTACAGTGACAGTTTATATCATTCAATGGGAACTACAGTGACAGTTTATATCATTTAATGGGACCTACAGTGACAGTTTATATCATTCAATGGGAACTACAGTGACAGTTTATATCATTTAATGGGACCTACAGTGACAGTTTATATTATTCAATGGGAACTACAGTGACAGTTTATATCATCATTCAATGGGACCTATAGTGACAGTTTATATCATTCAATGGGAACTACAGTGACAGTTTATATCATTCAATGGGACCTACAGTGACAGTTTATATAACAGTTAAGAATACAGTTTCATGGGACCTACAGTGACAGTTAATATCATTTAATGGGACCTACAGTGACAGTTTATATCATTTAATGGGACCTACAGTGACAGTTTATATCATTTAATGGGACCTACAGTGACAGTTTATATAACAGTTAAGAATACAGTTTCATGAGACTAGAAGTGAGTTAACAACATGAAAAAGAAAGAACACTTGAGAAAAATGTAAATGTACAGCCTGAAAATGGCCAGCAAAGTTTATTAGCTTTTGGCTTAAGAAAGTAAACAAGCTTACCAGAGTAGGTTGTAAGTGATTGATCAATGATTGTGTACTTGCACTTCTACTTAAATCTTGACTAGAACAAACAGATGAAGATACCTGGCGACGGACTTCAGCTGCACCCTGTCTATTCATCAAATATTCAAAGATGAGAACAATTTCCTTTCACTTATATAGGAATTATCTAAACACATTTTTTAATAATAACATTCTTACTATGTCTTACACTGATACAAATGCAAAGTTTATGGTAAATCGTTAAGTATCTCGATCATTGTGTTGTATTTTGTAGGCTCTAACTCTATACATTAGGGGTCATCCATAAATGACGTCACGCTTTTTTTTTACCATTTTTACCTCCACCCCTCCCCGCCGTCACTTGTTGTCAGAAAAAGCCAGACCCCCCTCCCCTAAAATGAAGTCACACCTCAGCACAACCACCCTTAAAATTGCTGTTGAATTTTTCTTAAAACATCGATATTTTTCCAAAATCTTGTCAGAACTGTGTCAAAAGAGTATTTTGATCAATTCCTATTACAATTTATTCAAACCGTTTTCTAAAACGCGAAATAACGGCTAAAACTCGTTTTCTAACATTGCTTTTTTATAATACAAAAAAGTGACGTCACATCATATGAACCCCCCCCTCCCCCACACCATCACAAAATTACGGACCCCCTCCCCCCTATGAATGTGACGTCATTCATGGACGACCCCATACCTGTATAATATATTTATGCATACCAGCATTATATTAAATCTGGAGCCCTAAACACCAGTCTGAGACTGAGTCTGTTTAAAGAACTATGCAAAGATATGAATAAAGATCACATGATTCTGCTTTTCTATACTACGCTTGCTGTCAAAAGGAAATGTGAATTGTATTTTTGAATTGAAAGATGAAATCAAGATGTTCTTGGAAGAGTAAGGGAAACAAGACCTTTTGAAATACTTTAGTGACAAAGAGTGGTTAAAGAGAGTATCATTCCTAACAGATTCAAACATCAACATAAGCCATCATAAGCTTAACCTGAAGCTTCTGGGAAAATGCCCCGAGATTATAACGAAGAGATAATATTCGTTCATTTTCCCAGAAGCATCAGGTTATCAAGAATAATTCATATTGAAAGACTACTACTAGATCTAGATTTGGATGATATTTCGAGTCGTCCCTTTGAATCCCGGTCACAATGTCCCCAAAACTAAGGACAACACAATTTCAAACAGCTATTGTCCGAGCTATGATGTATATAAAACTATATATATTGTATGTATGCTGATAATTAAAGTCAAAGTGATTGTGAACTCACGGTGAACCCGCGACCATGTAAGATTTTTCTCTTGCTGACGATCATAATATAAATATAATTGGAACAGTGTGTAGGCCCTAATGCTTTTTTATGTTTTTAGGAAGGGGGGGGGGGGGGGGGGTTATGGTCCTTAACGAGCTACTTATAGTGTTTTAAAGAAATATTTTCAGTGTCAGCGTTGGTACTGCCGAATTCACAAAGTATGAATTATTGAAAATTAGAAACAACTAAATAGCGGCGTATGTTATGCCGCGGGCCGGCTCGTTTATTATTAATTTATTTTGTTTGTTGATGATTATTATTTCCGGGGAACAAGCTTTCCTTTCTTTATTATAATTGGCAAAACAAATTCCAGAAGTAGATTCTACTAATTGTAGATTTATACAATAATAAACTTCCTATTTTAATCAAATAGAGGTCTTATCATTAATAATAATTTAACAAAACTTAGAACTTAACTAACTTGCTTAGTTTCTGTGCAAAAGCTCTCGTCTGACCGGAGACAGACATTTTGTTTAGATGGATTATTTTTAGAATGTCAACTTAAAAAGTAGCATTTACACACAATTTAGCAAATATTGGTTTAAAATATGATATTTTCCGTATTTTGAAAATAAATTCTAAACGTAATGAGTATTAAATATTTTTTATATTATCATTGTATTATAATATTTTAGTGATGCCTATAGTACATATTATAACAATAAATAGATATTGATTCTAGAAACCTAAATTCTATCAAGACTATTATGTTCAAATATTTTAAAACACCGCAGCTGTTGAATAATGTGTATGTTTATTTGATTTTAATCCAGACTAAGTACTAAGATAGGTCCAATATTTAGAATAGATGATTATAGATTATAGATCTACTGATCTAGATCTAGATCTATATTCTTAAATATTCTAGATATAGAATCTAGAAAAATAAGAACATCACTACAAATTACGATTATTTATGACAACAATGCGTATTTATTAGACTTTAATATTTCTTTTCAAAGCTACAGACACTACAGAGTCTGTACAATCACAGTGCAAATTGCACACTGGTACTGGTATGACTGTTCTAGCTAGTAGATTCTAGCGCAAGAGTAGGCATATATTTAATAATTTATTATTATAGGCCTAGATCTACTGTCTATATATATTATTTAGAAATCTAGTATTTAGACTAGTTAGACTAATAATTAACTAATAAAAGTAACGAAGTGACTACTCGGAAAAAGATTTTTTGCCCCAGCGTCTCCACTTGGTCGACAAAAGATAGTTTTGCGCATGTACAGTGACCTTTATAGCTGAGCTAGTGTTAGGGCTAGGGTTGTACGGTTTTAAACACACGCATGCGCAGTACCATATAACACACCGCAGCGAAAGGCAAGTTGTAGTTACTCTCCATTGCACATGCGCATCTTTTTCCAGCTAGAATCTGCCTTAAAGTAATAGTAAATAGGCCCTTATTTAGGCCTTAATATTTATATCATTCCATTATTATCTTCAGCAGAGTCAGTCAGACAGTGGATCTATCATCTAGCAAGAATTTGGCTTAGGTAGTTGATAGTAGTAGTAGCCCGATGGCCTATTTATTTATTTAATATTTATTTATAGAAAGGCTGGGCTGCTAGATCTCTACTGATTAAAGAACTATGTCTTGTAGGTCTAAATAATTTTTTCAGGGCCTAATATTAAAATTTATCTAAAAAGGGCCTAGGCTAGATCGGAGATCTAATCTAAAAAAAATCAAATTGAATAGGCCCTAACTAATTTCTAATCTGGAATTATTTTGGCCAATAGGGCACTATAGGCTAAAATAGATTCTTACACCACTTACCAGATCAACTAACTTAATGAAGAAGACTTGAAGTAGACTTAAGCCTAAGGCAAGCTTATAACTAGTTTTAACTTAAACTAGATCTACTTAAGAGGTCCTGTAACTTTATATTTATATAAATTGAGCTTAAAACTTCTTGTGTGTTGTGCTATCAAGGTGCAGATTATCACTGTTATGAACTAAAATGTGTTGTTTATTCGTGGTGCGTGTTGTGGTCTAATATTTTTTGTGTTGTGTTTTTACTAGGTTATTATGGCATGTGCCTCTACCAAGTCTGGACTTGAAGCTAATCAAGTCAAATTGTTTATCACGTCATTCAGTGATGAGTTTTTTGCAGAGAGAGAATTCATAAAGAATGAGGTTTTTTTTTCCTATTTTTCAAAAAATTCTTTAAGTGATCTCCAGGAAATTAATAATTAATGAATCTTTCTATTCTTAATTTAACTGCACAAACTAATTGTTCAAACCTGCAGGTTGTGCCAGCCCTTAGATCTTGGTGTGAAAGAAAAAAGTTAACCCTTGTTGAAAATTTTATTAAATGGGTAAGTAATTACAATAGAGAACTCTCTTTTGTGACAAAAAAATATGTATGTAAATAAGCATAACATTTTTTGCTACATTTTGATTATTATTTTGTGTTTCTGAAGTTGTTATTTTTAATGACTAATATAAAAGTTGAAGTTGAATTTTGGACTTCATTGTTGTGAATTTTTTAGCCTACTTGATGCTGTCCCCTTGATTGTGGTGAAATGCTAGCCTACATGGTGCTGTCCCCTTGATTGTAGTGAAATGCTAGCATAGTTGGTGCTGTCCCCTTGATTGTAGTGAAACGCTAGCACAGTTGGTGCTGTCCCCTTGATTGTGGTGAAATGCTAGCATAGTTGGTGCTGTCCCTTTGATTGTAGTGAAATGCTAGCCTACATGGTGTTGTCCCCTTGATTGTGGTGAAATGCTAGCATATTTGGGGCTGTCCCTGATATTTAGCCATCAAACTGTAAATTAATATAATATTTGAACCACTTGTAGGGGGGACGCCACCCAGATGAAAGAAATGTCGCTGAACTAGAAAGACTCCAGACCAGCATAGAAAACTGCTATTTTTCAAGCATCATGCCAATTTTCATCAATATCACTTGGTAAACCCTTTCAATCATTTGATATGTTTAACTTTTGAAGATTTGAAATGATGTATATTGAAAGCTAGAAAGAAGATTGATAAAACAATTAGATTAACAAAAGCCACTCCTTCCTGGCAGCACCTCACTGGGTTGGGTGCCCATGTGGGGGGAGTACCCAGAAGAAATTGTTGAAGATTATCAAGAAGCTTATGGCCTGCTCTATGAGGACTTGGAGCTTTTAGCATCTGCTTTTAGAGAAGATAATTTGAATTGTGAGTACCAACAATCCATGTCTTCAATTACACTTTGGTATTTTACTTGAAGTTCTTAAAGTAATGAGTCATCCAATATTAGCTACTATAGTTTTATGAAGCATTCTTGTGCTCATCTATGTGTCTGCTTTTGTTCCAGCCCTATATCTCATACGAGATGACAGCTTTTCCACCAACATTCCAGATGAAGAGAAGGCAAATTTTGTAAAATTGAGCTCTGCTTCTCAAAAAATTTGTGGGGATTGTGATAAAATCTCTCATAAATTTCCTGTAAGTTTGTGGGGATTGTGATAAAGGCTTATAAATTTCATGTTAATTTTAAGATATGAGTATGTTTTTTCACATTCTCTAGCCACACCATTCAATAATTTCACATTCTCTAGCCACACCATTCAATAAATTCTCTAGCCACACCATTCAATAAATTCTCTAGCCACACCATTCAATAAATTCTCTAGCCACACCATTCAATAAATTCTCTAGCCACACCATTCAATAAATTCTCTAGCCACACCATTCAATAATTTCACATTCTCTAGCCACACCATTCAATAAATTCTCTAGCCACACCATTCAATAAATTCTCTAGCCACACCATTCAATAAATTCTCTAGCCACACCATTCAATAATTTCACATTCTCTAGCCACACCATTCAATAAATTCTCTAGCCACACCATTCAATAAATTCTCTAGCCACACCATTCAATAAATTCTCTAGCCACACCATTCAATAATTTCATATTCTCTAGCCACACCATTCAATAAATTCTCTAGCCACACCATTCAATAAATTCTCTAGCCACACCATTAAATAATTTCACATTCTCTAGCCACACCATTCAATAATTTCACATTCTCTAGCCACACCATTCAATAATTTCACATTCTCTAGCCACACCATTCAATAATTTCACATTCTCTAGCCACACCATTAAATAATTTCACATTCTCTAGCCACACCATTAAATAATTTCACATTCTCTAGCCACACCATTAAATAATTTCACATTCTCTAGCCACACCATTAAATAATTTCACATTCTCTAGCCACACCATTAAATAATTTCACATTCTCTAGCCACACCATTCAATAAATTCTCTAGCCACACCATTCAATAAATTCTCTAGCCACACCATTCAATAATTTCACATTCTCTAGCCACACCATTCAATAAATTCTCTAGCCACACCATTCAATAATTTCACATTCTCTAGCCACACCATTCAATAAATTCTCTAGCCACACCATTCAATAAATTCTCTAGCCACACCATTCAATAAATTCTCTAGCCACACCATTCAATAATTTCATATTCTCTAGCCACACCATTCAATAAATTCTCTAGCCACACCATTCAATAAATTCTCTAGCCACACCATTCAATAATTTCATATTCTCTAGCCACACCATTCAATAATTTCATATTCTCTAGCCACATCGGGTCATACTGTACAGTGCAGACTACAAAGGTATGGACACTAAGAAGAATCCTGTGCTTGGTTTTTCTGAAGATCTAAAACTAAAGGTTACGCTCACATTTCTAATCATTTAGTTGAAATCAATTAGTTCAAGTAATGTGAACAGAAAGATTACAAATATTTTATTAAGAATACAAAATTAATGAAGTAAAATGCTATGTTGATGTAATGTGAATACAAAATTAATGAAGTAAAATGCTATGTTGATGTAATGTGAATACAAAGTTAATGAATTGTTGTTCCCTCAGGTACTGGACTTCCTACAGCAGAGAATTGCCTATGACTACTGTGGGGAGGACAGACTTTTAGCCAGTCATCCAGATGAGTTTGCCAAGTCAGCTCACCTGGAATTTTTCAAGTCTAAGGGAAGATGTGTGTTTGGTCGTGATAACATTGTCTTACAGGTGAGCTGGTCTAACTCTTGTGGCATCTGTTGAAGGTGTGTGTTTGGTCGTGATAACATTGTCTTACAGGTGAGCTGGTCTAACTCTTGTGGCATCTGTTGAAGGTGTGTGTTTGGTCGTGATAACATTGTCTTACAGGTGAGCTGGTCTAACTCTTGTGGCATCTGTTGAAGGTGTGTGTTTGGTAGTGATAACATTGTCTTACAGGTGAGCTGGTCTAACCCTTGTGGCATCTGTTGAAGGTGTGTGTTTGGTAGTGATAACATTGTCTTACAGGTGAGCTGGTCTAACCCTTGTGGCATCTGTTGAAGGTGTGTGTTTGGTCGTGATAACATTGTCTTACAGGTGAGCTGGTCTAACTCTTGTGGCATCTGTTGAAGGTGTGTGTTTGGTAGTGATAACATTGTCTTACAGGTGAGCTGGTCTAACTCTTGTGGCATCTGTTGAAGGTGTGTGTTTGGTAGTGATAACATTGTCTTACAGGTGAGCTGGTCTAACCCTTGTGGCATCTGTTGGCATTTCTTGTGGTAGCCATTGGCACTATTATGTTTCTTCACTAAGAACTTTTAACATTTTTTACAGTCCCTTCAGACCTTGTATTATATTGTGTGATTGGTTTGTTCAATCTAATAATGAGCTGTCTTTATTTCTCAGATAGAGAATTATATTGTGAAAGAAGAAAGAGATATTCCCCTGATTTTACTAGGGGCATCAGGCTCAGGTAAAACTTCAGTCATGTGTCTTGCGGCTAAAACTATTTTAAACAGGATAGAACGAGCAGACTTTCCAGGGTAATTAGATCTTACTTTACTCGTTATTTATATAGCTTTGATTTGTTCTCAACATTGTATTCTTAAGATTTTATTTATATATGATTGTATACCAGACAAGTTGTATGCCCATATCATGTACTAATAAATAAAAGAGTCTTTTAATGTACAAACCCATGTGAGTAGTTTAACAGATGACCCTTGTTATCCATTGGACAGAAAAACACATGAAAAAATTCCCTCCCCACTGTCTTCAGTGCTTTTACACCTTAGACTTTATAAAAACGCAAAGTCTTACCTCAAATTGATTTGACGTCAAGGACCAGTGACAAATGGACCCTGTCATATAGATTCCAGACAAAAGGGCTCTTGTTAAAAAAGCTCCCAACAAATAGGCTCCAACCATTACAACTCCCAACAAAGTGTTCCTGTCAATAAGACTCGACTAGAGGACTCCAGTTATTCTCTGCCTTCTTTCAAATTTTGAGTAAATTTCCGACGACCGGAAGTAGTACTTTATGCTTTTTCCGATTTCTCAAAAACACGAATAAAGTACTAATATTCCGCACTATTATTGTTGTTCACTTGGTGCAAAATTCTTTTTTATACAAGATTCTATTCTATTTTAAAAAGTTTAAATAATAAAAAAAATTGATTTAAAATCATGTCTATATCCTGAGTTGCCATCCCTCTTAGTGTTGTTTAAGTATATTTGAAAAAGTTTAGGGGAATTTTGATGGCTTTCAATAAAATGTATGTTTATGGTTAAAATACGCAATGTTTCGTACTTTGTAGAATTCAGAAAAGTAGCCCTATAAAAAAAAAACGTTTTGACAAAAGTTTTAATATGTAGGCCTACTGAATTATAGGCAGTGTAAATTTGATTGCGTTAAGTACTTTATCTGCCAATCTCGGCACAAGTATTTAAAAGCTTTAGAAGTTAAATTGTTAAAAATAGAATAAAAAATTAGCATATTCCCTTAATAAATCAAAGTTAAAAAACAACAAGGAAAGTATATAATGTGAGTCTTTTTTCTTTCCTTTTTTTAATATTTATTTTGGCTTAGCAAAGTAGCAACCATGATTATGTTCCTGTTTAATGCTTCCACTTTATATATGAAAGTTCCTACAACTGGCCGCCTAGGGAAGGCATAAAAAATTATCTGAAAAAGTTGGTGTAGTTGTCATTATATATATATCTATAATTCTCTACATGGACACCACCACGACGCAAGCCAACTATCTAACCCTCCTCCCGCCTCCTCCCTCGCTCTTCAGGCATGCGCAACAGACCATATTGCTATCACCCCCACCAGTCTGTTGAGCTGTGGTTCACGCAGAATGTTTACAATTGTAGAGCCAGGTCAAATTTTTGGCGGCTATTCGGGGCAGATAATTTAGTTTATAAAGGATTTGAAACTAAGGGGAGGTAACAAGTTCTGCTTGATCTTTTCATTGTCGTCTGTAAACTGTCGTCACGGCTGTATGCCACGCCGCGGATCAGCTAGTAACTAACATTATAATAAAATAATTGCTGTCTTAGATCAAAGTTATCATTTTAATATTTAGATTGAAAATTTTCCATTTGTACCTTAATTGTTGACTGGACACCTGTCGCAGGTGTGACATTCCTGACCTCAAAATACACAACTATAAATAAATATATATAAATATAAATAAATACATATAAATAAAGAAATATAAAGAAATAAATATAAAGAAATACAAAAAAAAAAAATAAATACATATAAATATAAATAAATACATATAAATATAAATACATATAAATATAAATACATATAAATATAAATACATATAAATATAAATACATATAAATATAAATAAATACATATAAATATAAATACATATAAATATAAATACATATAAATATAATTACATATAAATATAAATACATATAAATATAAATACATATAAATATAAATACATATAAATATAAATACATATAAATATAAATACATATAAATATATATACATATAAATATAAATACATATAAATATAAATACATATAAATATAAATACATATAAATATAAATACATATAAATATAAATAAATACATATAAATAAATATAAATACAAATAAATACACATAAATATAAATAAATACACATAAATATAAATAAATACACATAAATATAAATAAATACACATAAATATAAATAAATACACATAAATATAAATAAATACACATAAATATAAATAAATACACATAAATATAAATAAATACACATAAATATAAATAAATACACATAAATATAAATAAATACACATAAATATAAATAAATACACATAAATATAAATAATACACATAAATATAAATAAATACACATAAATATAAATAAATACACATAAATATAAATAAATACACATAAATATAAATAAATACACATAAATATAAATAAAGACACATAAATATAAATAAATACACATAAATACACAACTATAAATAAATATATATAAATATAAATAAATACATATAAATAAATAAATATAAAGAAATAAATATAAAGAAATACAAAAAATATAAATAAATACATATAAATATAAATAAATACATATAAATATAAATACATATAAATATAAATACATATAAATATAAATACATATAAATATAAATACATATAAATATAAATACATATAAATATAAATACATATAAATATAAATACATATAAATATAAATACATATAAATATAAATACATATAAATATAAATACATATAAATATAAATACATATAAATATAAATACATATAAATATAAATACATATAAATATAAATACATATAAATATAAATACATATAAATATAAATACATATAAATATAAATACATATAAATATAAATACATATAAATATAAATACATATAAATATAAATACATATAAATATAAATACATATAAATATAAATACATATAAATATAAATACCTATAAATATAAATACCTATAAATATAAATACATATAAATATAAATAAATACATATAAATAAATTTAAATACAAATAAATACATATATATATAAATAAATACACATAAATATAAATAAATACACATAAATATAAATAAATACACATAAATACACATAAATGTAAATAAATACACATAAATGTAAATAAATACACATAAATGTAAATAAATACACATAAATGTAAATAAATACACATAAATGTAAATAAATACACATAAATATAAATAAATACACATAAATGTAAATAAATACACATAAATGTAAATAAATACACATAAATGTAAATAAATACACATAAATGTAAATAAATACACATAAATGTAAATAAATACACATGAATGTAAATAAATACACATGAATGTAAATAAATACACATGAATGTAAATAAATACACATGAATGTAAATAAATACACATGAATGTAAATAAATACACATGAATGTAAATAAATACACATGAATGTAAATAAATACACATGAATGTAAATAAATACACATGAATGTAAATAAATACACATGAATGTAAATAAATACACATGAATGTAAATAAATACACATGAATGTAAATAAATACACATGAATGTAAATAAATACACATGAATGTAAATAAATACACATGAATGTAAATAAATACACATGAATGTAAATAAATACACATGAATGTAAATAAATACACATGAATGTAAATAAATACACATGAATGTAAATAAATACACATGAATGTAAATAAATACACATGAATGTAAATAAATACACATGAATGTAAATAAATACACATGAATATAAATACATATAAATATAAATAGATCTATAAAAGTGAGTCCATGAATATTCAAATCCTGCTGAATTGTAGTTGTACTCTAATGCCACTCATTGTTCCACTTGAACAGGGACAAAAGCTGGCGACTCTTTTACCATTTTGTAGGGGCTGTGCCTGGATCCACATCTTTAGAGCAGATGCTGAAAAGACTTCTACGGGAAACTGGAATGACCAAAAAGGTAAGAATAGAAATGATGTTTCTATCAATCTGTTGAAAGTCAAATCAAGTTAGATTGAGAAAAGTGTTGTTTCTCTAAGAACTCAAACTGTGCCAAAGATTTGGACTCGGCTGCCCAGATGTGCTGCAGTATGCTGTCCAACCTGAACACTGACCCTCTGATCATTCTACTGGACGCAGCTGATCAGGTGCTACATCATTAGCCCTTCTCTATCATTCTTTTCATTAGCCCTACTCTATCATTCTTTTCATTAGCCCTTCTCTATCATTCTTTTCATTAGCCCTTCTCTATCATTCTTTTCATTAGCCCTTCTTTATCATTCTTTTCATTAGCCCTTCTCTATCATTCTTTTCATTAGCCCTTCTCTATCATTCTTTTCATTAGCCCTTCTCTATCATTAGTAGCTGCAGTTTGGTTTGATACGTATATTTGCTACTAACTGAAGTAAAAAATGGAACACTTGGTCATCAGTTCACCAAAGAGCATGGGGCTAGGATCATCAGCTGGGTGCCCAGGAAACTGGCGCCTCAAGTACGGCTGGTCATTGCCATGGTCACAGACACAGAAGTCCACAAAGCTCTGCTAGGCAGGGAGACCAAGCCGACAGAGATTTACGTTACACCTCTAGACAATACCTCTAAACAGGTGAGACAATCTAGACAGCAAGACAATACCTCTAAACAGGTGAGACAATCTAGACAGCAAGACAATACCTCTAAACAGGTGAGACAATCTAGACAGCAAGACAAGACCTCTAAACAGGTAAGACAATCTAGACGACAATACCTCTAAACAGGTGAGACAATCTAGACGACAATACCTCTAAACAGGTGAGACAATCTAGACAGCAAGACAAGACCTCTAAACAGGTGAGACAATCTAGACAGCAAGACAAGACCTCTAAACAGGTGAGACAATCTAGACAGCAAGACAAGACCTCTAAACAGGTGAGACAATCTAGACAGCAAGACAATACCTCTAAACAGGTGAGACAATCTAGACAGCAAGACAACACCTCTAAACAGGTGAGACAATCTAGACAGCAAGACAAGACCTCTAAACAGGTGAGACAATCTAGACGACAAGACAATACCTCTAAACAGGTGAGACAATCTAGACAGCAAGACAACACCTCTAAACAGGTGAGACAATCTAGACAGCAAGACAAGACCTCTAAACAGGTGAGACAATCTAGACAGCAAGACAACACCTCTAAACAGGTGAGACAATCTAGACAGCAAGACAATACCTCTAAACAGGTGAGACAATCTAGACAGCAAGACAATACCTCTAAACAGGTAAGACAATCTAGACGACAATACCTCTAAACAGGTGAGACAATCTAGACAGCAAGACAATACCTCTAAACAGGTGAGACAATCTAGACAGCAAGACAATACCTCTAAACAGGTGAGACAATCTAGACGACAAGACAATACCTCTAAACAGGTGAGACAATCTAGACAGCAAGACAATACCTCTAAACAGGTGAGACAATCTAGACAGCAAGACAATACCTCTAAACAGGTGAGACAATCTAGACAGCAAGACAATACCTCTAAACAGGTGAGACAATCTAGACGACAAGACAATACCTCTAAACAGGTGAGACAATCTAGACGACAAGACCTCTAAACAGGTGAGACAATCTAGACAGCAAGACAAGACCTTCATAACGACTACTCTAAAACTGTGTTGCTGCCATTGCTAACATTCAGGGCATCATAGAGGAGATTCTAGAGCAAGACAAGCTGAGCTCTGACCAGGTCAAGTCTCTGCTGGGGAAGCCATCTTCTGAAAACCCATTGTGGCTGACCTTAGCTTGTCAGGAGCTCAAATTGGCCAACGGAGAGGAGAAAATCTCTGAGAAGATTGACAGCTTGCCTGACAGTTTACTCATGTGAGTTGAGTAGATGAAGTCATAGTTCCTGCTCCAGTAGATTTAAGGCGGGTTTCAAGTCATGTGACTTTTGTTTCCTGCTCTAGTAGATTTAAGGCGGGTTTCAAGTCATGTGACTTTTGTTTCCTTCTCCAGTAGATTTAAGGCGGGTTTCAAGTCATGTGACTTTTGTTTCCTTCTCCAGTAGATTTAAGGCGGGTTTCAAGTCATGTGACTTTTGTTTCATTCTCCAGTAGATTTAAGGCGGGTTTCAAGTCATGTGACTTTTGTTTCCTTCTCCAGTAGATTTAAGGCGGGTTTCAAGTCATGTGACTTTTGTTTCCTGCTCTAGTAGATTTAAGGCGGGTTTCAAGTCATGTGACTTTTGTTTCATTCTCCAGTAGATTTAAGGCAGGTTTCAAGTCATGTGACTTTTGTTTCCTTCTCCAGTAGATTTAAGGCGGGTTTCAAGTCATGTGACTTTTGTTTCCTTTCTCCAGTAGATTTAAGGCGGGTTTCAAGTATGTGACTTTTGTTTCATTCTCCAGTAGATTTAAGGCGGGTTTCAAGTCATGTGATTTTTGTTTCCTGCTCCAGTAGATTTAAGGCGGGTTTCAAGTCATGTGACTTTTGTTTCCTTCTCCAGTAGATTTAAGGCGGGTTTCAAGTCATGTGATTTTTGTTTCCTGCTCCAGTAGATTTAAGGCGGGTTTCAAGTCATGTGATTTTTGTTTCCTGCTCCAGTAGATTTAAGGCGGGTTTCAAGTCATGTGACTTTTGTTTCCTTCTCCAGTAGATTTAAGGCGGGTTTCAAGTCATGTGATTTTTGTTTCCTGCTCCAGTAGATTTAAGGCGGGTTTCAAGTCATGTGACTTTTGTTTCATTCTCCAGTAGATTTAAGGCGGGTTTCAAGTCATGTGACTTTTGTTTCCTTCTCCAGTAGATTTAAGGCGGGTTTCAAGTCATGTGACTTTTGTTTCCTGCTCTAGTAGATTTAAGGCGGGTTTCAAGTCATGTGACTTTTGTTTCATTCTCCAGTAGATTTAAGGCAGGTTTCAAGTCATGTGACTTTTGTTTCCTTCTCCAGTAGATTTAAGGCGGGTTTCAAGTCATGTGACTTTTGTTTCCTTTCTCCAGTAGATTTAAGGCGGGTTTCAAGTCATGTGACTTTTGTTTCATTCTCCAGTAGATTTAAGGCGGGTTTCAAGTCATGTGATTTTTGTTTCCTGCTCCAGTAGATTTAAGGCGGGTTTCAAGTCATGTGACTTTTGTTTCCTTCTCCAGTAGATTTAAGGCGGGTTTCAAGTCATGTGATTTTTGTTTCCTGCTCCAGTAGATTTAAGGCGGGTTTCAAGTCATGTGATTTTTGTTTCCTGCTCCAGTAGATTTAAGGCGGGTTTCAAGTCATGTGACTTTTGTTTCCTTCTCCAGTAGATTTAAGGCGGGTTTCAAGTCATGTGATTTTTGTTTCCTGCTCCAGTAGATTTAAGGCGGGTTTCAAGTCATGTGATTTTTGTTTCCTGCTCCAGTAGATTTAAGGCGGGTTTCAAGTCATGTGATTTTTGTTTCCTGCTCCAGTAGATTTAAGGCGGGTTTCAAGTCATGTGATTTTTGTTTCCTGCTCCAGTAGATTTAAGGCAGGTTTCAAGTCATGTGACTTTTGTTTCATTCTCCAGTAGATTTAAGGCGGGTTTCAAGTCATGTGACTTTTGTCTCAGGTCATGTGACTTTTGTCTCAGGTTGTTTGATGAGCTGCTACAACGCCTGGAGTCTGGCCGAGAGGGTGACCTCCTGGTGGGCACCCTCTGTCTGCTGGAGGCCTCGGCCGCTGGACTCAATCAGCTGGAGCTCAGGCAGCTTCTGGCTGATGAAACCTCCATCAAACCCCCATCTCCATATGAAGAAAAAGGTAAACCCCATTGACAACATATCAAACATAGTCCAAACCTCCATCAAACCCCCGTCTCCATATGAAGAAAAAGGTAAACCCCATTGACAACATATCAAACATAGTCCAAACCTCCATCAAACCCCCGTCTCCATATGAAGAAAAAGGTAAACCCCATTGACAACATATCAAACATAGTCCAAACCTCCATCAAACCCCTGTCTCCATATGAAGAAAAAGGTAAACCCCATTGACAACATATCAAACATAGTCCAAACCTCCATCAAACCCCCGTCTCCATATGAAGAAAAAGGTAAACCCCATTGACAACATATCAAACATAGTCCAAACCTCCATCAAACCCCTGTCTCCATATGAAGAAAAAGGTAAACCCCATTGACAACATATCAAACATAGTCCAAACCTCCATCAAACCCCCGTCTCCATATGAAGAAAAAGGTAAACCCCATTTACAACATAGCAAACATAGTCCAAACCTCCATCAAACCCCCGTCTCCATATGAAGAAAAAGGTAAACCCCATTGACAACATAGCAAACATAGTCCAAACCTCCATCAAACCCCCGTCTCCATATGAAGAAAAAGGTAAACCCCATTGACAACATATCAAACGTAGTCCAACAAATCTCACTCCAAGAAACTGATTCTAGAGCTGACAAATGTCCCCATTTTGCAGAAGAGAAAGAAGGCAGAGAAAAGGACAGTAAGAAAGAGAAGGGTGTTCTGAGTGAAGAGAGATGGCAGCTTGTGTTACACACACTGCAGCCATTCCTGCGACCCTACGGAGACAGCAGGGAGGGACGGCTTGACTTCTACCATAGGGCCCTGAGTAAAGCTGTTAGAAAAAGGTAACTTACAGCTGTATTAGTCAGGTAACTTACAGATGTAGATTAGACAGGTAACTTACAGCTGTATTAGTCAGGTAACTTACAGATGTAGATTAGACAGGTAACTTACAGGTGTAGATTAGTCAGGTAACTTACAGGTGTAGATTAGACAGGTAACTTACAGGTGTAGATTAGTCAGGTAACTTACAGGTGTAGATTAGACAGGTAACTTACAGGTGTAGATTAGACAGGTAACTTACAGGTGTAGATTAGTCAGGTAACTTACAGATGTAGATTAGACAGGTAACTTACAGCTGTAGATTAGACAGGTAACTTACAGGTGTAGATTAGACAGGTAACTTACAGGTGTAGATTAGACAGGTAACTTACAGGTGTAGATTAGACAGGTAACTTACAGGTGTAGATTAGTCAGGTAACTTACAGATGTAGATTAGACAGGTAACTTACAGCTGTAGATTAGACAGGTAACTTACAGGTGTAGATTAGACAGGTAACTTACAGGTGTAGATTAGACAGGTACCTGATTACCATCTTTCCTCAGATACCTGACTACCATCTTTCCTCAGATACCTGACTACCATCTTTCCTCAGATACCTGACTACCATCTTTCCCCAGATACCTGACTACCATCTTTCCTCAGATACCTGACTACCATCTTTCCCCAGATACCTGACTACCATCTTTCCTCAGATACCTGACTACCATCTTTCCTCAGATACCTGACTACCATCTTTCCTCAGATACCTGACTACCATCTTTCCCCAGATACCTGACTACCATCTTTCCTCAGATACCTGACTACCATCTTTCCCCAGATACCTGACTACCATCTTTCCTCAGATACCTGACTACCATCTTTCCCCAGATACCTGACTACCATCTTTCCCCAGATACCTGACTACCATCTTTCCTCAGATACCTGACTACCATCTTTCCTCAGATACCTGACTACCATCTTTCCTCAGATACCTGACTACCATCTTTCCTCAGATACCTGACTACCATCTTTCCTCAGATACCTACCATCTTTCCTCAGATACCTGACTACCATCTTTCCTCAGATACCTGACTACCATCTTTCCTCAGATACCTGACTACCATCTTTCCTCAGATACCTGACTACCATCTTTCCTCAGATACCTACCATCTTTCCTCAGATACCTGACTACCATCTTTCCTCAGATACCTGACTACCATCTTTCCCCAGATACCTGACTACCATCTTTCCTCAGATACCTGACTACCATCTTTCCTCAGATACCTGACTACCATCTTTCCTCAGATACCTACCATCTTTCCTCAGATACCTGACTACCATCTTTCCTCAGATACCTACCATCTTTCCTCAGATACCTGACTACCATCTTTCCTCAGATACCTGACTACCATCTTTCCTCAGATACCTGACTACCATCTTTCCTCAGATACCTGACTACCATCTTTCCTCAGATACCTACCATCTTTCCTCAGATACCTGACTACCATCTTTCCTCAGATACCTGACTACCATCTTTCCTCAGATACCTGACTACCATCTTTCCTCAGATACCTGACTACCATCTTTCCTCAGATACCTGACTACCATCTTTCCTCAAATACCTGACTACCATCTTTCCTCAGATACCTGACTGTCAACACAGATGAGGAAACCTCCCCAGGAAAACCTGAGAAATCTGGCACCTATTTCTTCTGGCACTCCAAGCTTGCTGACTATTTCCGTTACCATAGCGACGTGTCCAGACAGGTTGAAGAATACCCATACCACCTGGCATGCCTGGAGGACAAGTTCCACCTGGCCCAGTGCTTGTGTGACTGGCCAGTCTTTGACCGGCTCTACCATGAGGAGTACAGTTCACAGCTCATGGCCTACTGGAGGAAGGTGGGCTCTCATTCATTAGACTTGACACATTTTGTTGCACCTCTCATTCATTAGACTTGACACATTTTGTTGCGCCTCTCATTCATTAGACTTGACACATTTTGTTGCACCTCTCATTCATTAGACTTGTTACTTGAAATATTTTGACAGATTTCCACACCAAATCAGTCCCTATAGACTCCTGACATCCTTTACTTACATATCATTAAAAAAAGTCAATAAGTATTCTAAAATAGCATTAGATAAAGACAGTGTGGGCCTACATCTCCCAAACAAGGTCTCTTCTAGGCTCTCTGCCTCGCCTGGTTGTTGTACATTTATCTACTGCTATCTATCTATTGTTGACTACCCTCTCATTTTCTGATGCTTCCCATTTCATAAAATTAATTTTGGAATCCTCGCAAAAGATGACTATAAGAACTAGACTAACCCCTGCCCCCCCCCCCCCCCATCTAACCACTTGGCTTGAGGAAAAAAGGAAAAATAAAATTTATGCCATCTTAAATAGCTGGAGGTTTTGTTGCTGCTAGTATCATAGCTGGAGGTTTTGTTGTTGCTAGTATCATAGCTGGAGGTTTTGTTGTTGCTAGTATCATAGCTGGAGGTTTTGTTGTTGCTAGTATCATAGCTGGAGGTTTTGTTGTTGCTAGTATCATAGCTGGAGGTTTTGTTGTTGCTAGTATCATAGCTGGAGGTTTTGTTGTTGCTAGTATCATAGCTGGAGGTTTTGTTGTTGCTAGTATCATAGCTGGAGGTTTTGTTGTTGCTAGTATCATAGCTGGAGGTTTTGTTGTTGCTAGTATCATAGCTGGAGGTTTTGTTGTTGCTAGTATCATAGCTGGAGGTTTTGTTGTTGCTAGTATCATAGCTGGAGGTTTTGTTGTTGCTAGTATCATAGCTGGAGGTTTTGTTGTTGCTAGTATCATAGCTGGAGGTTTTGTTGTTGCTAGTATCATAGCTGGGGGTTTTGTTGTTGCTAGCATCATAGCTGGAGGTTTTGTTGTTGCTAGTATCATAGCTGGAGGTTTTGTTGTTGCTAGTATCATAGCTGGAGGTTTTGTTGTTGCTAGTATCATAGCTGGTATTGCCTGATCTAACAGGTTGGTCCCATATCTGAAATGACGTCCAGCTATGAAGCTGCCCTGAAAAAGTTTGAAGAGGCTGACTCAGCCAATGAGGCAGCTGTTTCATTACGCTATGAGAAAGTTTGTCGTGTCACGTAAGTTGATTACATTTATTTAGAAATGTGTGTCAGACATGTGTTGGGTGATGTAAGCAGTCAGTGAAGTGTGTCAGACATGTGTTGGGTGATGTAAGCAGTGAAGTGTGTCAGACATGTTGGGTGATGTAAGCAGTCAGTGAAGTGTGTCAGACATGTGTTGGGTGATGTAAGCAGTCAGTGAAGTGTGTCAGACATGTGTTGGGTGATGTAAGCAGTGAAGTGTGTCAGACATGTGTTGGGTGATGTAAGCAGTGAAGTGTGTCAGACATGTGTTGGGTGATGTAAGCAGTCAGTGAAGTGTGTCAGACATGTGTTGGGTGATGTAAGCAGTGAAGTGTGTCAGACATGTGTTGGGTGATGTAAGCAGTCACTGAAGTGTGTCAGACATGTGTTGGGTGATGTAAGCAGTCAGTGAAGTGTGTCAGACATGTGTTGGGTGATGTAAGCAGTGAAGTGTGTCAGACATGTGTTGGGTGATGTAAGCAGTGAAGTGTGTCAGACATGTGTTGGGTGATGTAAGCAGTCAGTGAAGTGTGTCAGACATGTGTTGGGTGATGTAAGCAGTGAAGTGTGTCAGACATGTGTTGGGTGATGTAAGCAGTGAAGTGTGTCAGACATGTGTTGGGTGATGTAAGCAGTGAAGTGTGTCAGACATGTGTTGGGTGATGTAAGCAGTGAGTGAAGTGTGTCAGACATGTGTTGGGTGATGTAAGCAGTGAAGTGTGTCAGACATGTGTTGGGTGATGTAAGCAGTCACTGAAGTGTGTCAGACATGTGTTGGGTGATGTAAGCAGTCACTGAAGTGTGTCAGACATGTGTTGGGTGATGTAAGCAGTGAAGTGTGTCAGACATGTGTTGGGTGATGTAAGCAGTGAAGTGTGTCAGACATGTGTTGGGTGATGTAAGCAGTGAAGTGTGTCAGACATGTGTTGGGTGATGTAAGCAGTGAAGTGTGTCAGACATGTGTTGGGTGATGTAAGCAGTGAAGTGTGTCAGACATGTGTTGGGTGATGTAAGCAGTCACTGAAGTGTGTCAGACATGTGTTGGGTGATGTAAGCAGTCACTGAAGTGTGTCAGACATGTGTTGGGTGATGTAAGCAGTGAAGTGTGTCAGACATGTGTTGGGTGATGTAAGCAGTGAAGTGTGTCAGACATGTATTGGGTGATGTAAGCAGTGAAGTGTGTCAGACATGTGTTGGGTGATGTAAGCAGTCACTGAAGTGTGTCAGACATGTGTTGGGTGATGTAAGCAGTGAAGTGTGTCAGACATGTGTTGGGTGATGTAAGCAGTCACTGAAGTGTGTCAGACATGTGTTGGGTGATGTAAGCAGTGAAGTGTGTCAGACATGTGTTGGGTGATGTAAGCAGTCAGTGAAGTGTGTCAGACATGTGTTGGGTGATGTAAGCAGTGAAGTGTGTCAGACATGTGTTGGGTGATGTAAGCAGTGAAGTGTGTCAGACATGTGTTGGGTGATGTAAGCAGTCAGTGAAGTGTGTCAGACATGTGTTGGGTGATGTAAGCAGTGAAGTGTGTCAGACATGTGTTGGGTGATGTAAGCAGTGAAGTGTGTCAGACATGTGTTGGGTGATGTAAGCAGTGAAGTGTGTCAGACATGTGTTGGGTGATGTAAGCAGTGAGTGAAGTGTGTCAGACATGTGTTGGGTGATGTAAGCAGTGAAGTGTGTCAGACATGTGTTGGGTGATGTAAGCAGTCACTGAAGTGTGTCAGACATGTGTTGGGTGATGTAAGCAGTCACTGAAGTGTGTCAGACATGTGTTGGGTGATGTAAGCAGTGAAGTGTGTCAGACATGTGTTGGGTGATGTAAGCAGTGAAGTGTGTCAGACATGTGTTGGGTGATGTAAGCAGTGAAGTGTGTCAGACATGTGTTGGGTGATGTAAGCAGTGAAGTGTGTCAGACATGTGTTGGGTGATGTAAGCAGTGAAGTGTGTCAGACATGTGTTGGGTGATGTAAGCAGTCACTGAAGTGTGTCAGACATGTGTTGGGTGATGTAAGCAGTCACTGAAGTGTGTCAGACATGTGTTGGGTGATGTAAGCAGTGAAGTGTGTCAGACATGTGTTGGGTGATGTAAGCAGTGAAGTGTGTCAGACATGTATTGGGTGATGTAAGCAGTGAAGTGTGTCAGACATGTGTTGGGTGATGTAAGCAGTCACTGAAGTGTGTCAGACATGTGTTGGGTGATGTAAGCAGTGAAGTGTGTCAGACATGTGTTGGGTGATGTAAGCAGTCAGTGAAGTGTGTCAGACATGTGTTGGGTGATGTAAGCAGTCAGTGAAGTGTGTCAGACATGTGTTGGGTGATGTAAGCAGTGAAGTGTGTCAGACATGTGTTGGGTGATGTAAGCAGTCAGTGAAGTGTGTCAGACATGTGTTGGGTGATGTAAGCAGTGAAGTGTGTCAGACATGTGTTGGGTGATGTAAGCAGTCAGTGAAGTGTGTCAGACATGTGTTGGGTGATGTAAGCAGTGAAGTGTGTCAGACATGTGTTGGGTGATGTAAGCAGTCAGTGAAGTGTGTCAGACATGTGTTGGGTGATGTAAGCAGTCAGTGAAGTGTGTCAGACATGTGTTGGGTGATGTAAGCAGTGAAGTGTGTCAGACATGTGTTGGGTGATGTAAGCAGTGAAGTGTGTCAGACATGTGTTGGGTGATGTAAGCAGTCAGTGAAGTGTGTCAGACATGTGTTGGGTGATGTAAGCAGTGAAGTGTGTCAAACATGTGTTGGGTGATGTAAGCAGTGAAGTGTGTCAGACATGTGTTGGGTGATGTAAGCAGTGAAGTGTGTCAGACATGTGTTGGGTGATGTAAGCAGTGAAGTGTGTCAGACATGTGTTGGGTGATGTAAGCAGTGAGTGAAGTGTGTCAGACATGTGTTGGGTGATGTAAGCAGTCAGTGAAGTGTGTCAGACATGTGTTGGGTGATGTAAGCAGTCAGTGAAGTGTGTCAGACATGTGTTGGGTGATGTAAGCAGTGAAGTGTGTCAGACATGTGTTGGGTGATGTAAGCAGTGAAGTGTGTCAGACATGTGTTGGGTGATGTAAGCAGTGAAGTGTGTCAGACATGTGTTGGGTGATGTAAGCAGTGAGTGAAGTGTGTCAGACATGTGTTGGGTGATGTAAGCAGTCAGTGAAGTGTGTCAGACATGTGTTGGGTGATGTAAGCAGTCACTGAAGTGTGTCAGACATGTGTTGGGTGATGTAAGCAGTCAGCGAAGTGTGTCAGACATGTGTTGGGTGATGTAAGCAGTCAGTGAAGTGTGTCAGACATGTGTTGGGTGATGTAAGCAGTCAGTGAAGTGTGTCAGACATGTGTTGGGTGATGTAAGCAGTCAGTGAAGTGTGTCAGACATGTGTTGGGTGATGTAAGCAGTGAGTGAAGTGTGTCAGACATGTGTTGGGTGATGTAAGCAGTCAGTGAAGTGTGTCAGACATGTGTTGGGTGATGTAAGCAGTCAGTGAAGTGTGTCAGACATGTGTTGGGTGATGTAAGCAGTGAAGTGTGTCAGACATGTGTTGGGTGATGTAAGCAGTGAAGTGTGTCAGACATGTGTTGGGTGATGTAAGCAGTGAAGTGTGTCAGACATGTGTTGGGTGATGTAAGCAGTGAGTGAAGTGTGTCAGACATGTGTTGGGTGATGTAAGCAGTCAGTGAAGTGTGTCAGACATGTGTTGGGTGATGTAAGCAGTCACTGAAGTGTGTCAGACATGTGTTGGGTGATGTAAGCAGTGAAGTGTGTCAGACATGTGTTGGGTGATGTAAGCAGTCAGTGAAGTGTGTCAGACATGTGTTGGGTGATGTAAGCAGTGAAGTGTGTCAGACATGTGTTGGGTGATGTAAGCAGTGAAGTGTGTCAGACATGTGTTGGGTGATGTAAGCAGTCAGTGAAGTGTGTCAGACATGTGTTGGGTGATGTAAGCAGTCAGTGAAGTGTGTCAGACATGTGTTGGGTGATGTAAGCAGTCACTGAAGTGTGTCAGACATGTGTTGGGTGATGTAAGCAGTGAAGTGTGTCAGACATGTGTTGGGTGATGTAAGCAGTCAGTGAAGTGTGTCAGACATGTGTTGGGTGATGTAAGCAGTCAGTGAAGTGTGTCAGACATGTGTTGGGTGATGTAAGCAGTGAAGTGTGTCAGACATGTGTTGGGTGATGTAAGCAGTGAAGTGTGTCAGACATGTGTTGGGTGATGTAAGCAGTCAGTGAAGTGTGTCAGACATGTGTTGGGTGATGTAAGCAGTGAAGTGTGTCAGACATGTGTTGGGTGATGTAAGCAGTCACTGAAGTGTGTCAGACATGTGTTGGGTGATGTAAGCAGTGAAGTGTGTCAGACATGTGTTGGGTGATGTAAGCAGTGAAGTGTGTCAGACATGTGTTGGGTGATGTAAGCAGTGAAGTGTGTCAGACATGTGTTGGGTGATGTAAGCAGTGAAGTGTGTCAGACATGTGTTGGGTGATGTAAGCAGTGAAGTGTGTCAGACATGTGTTGGGTGATGTAAGCAGTGAAGTGTGTCAGACATGAGTTGGGTGATGTAAGCAGTGAAGTGTGTCACCCATTTGTCCAGCATCCAGGCAGGCAAACACCAAGACGCCCTTGAACTACTGAAAACTGCCATGAAGATAGAAGAAAAAGAGTTGGGAGCACGTCCTCACCGGATGGTGGAGCTGTATGCCCTCATGTCAGAGATCTATGATGAGGTAAAGCTAGTGTTTTTACAAGCTTTTATTTAACTCACTTCCTCGTCAGTCTATCGTCAGTCTGTCTAGATCAAAACGCCAGAGCAAAATTGCAGGCACTTCTAACAGACAGATACGGTTCATAGTTGATACATGGGTCAAGACATGAAGATAATGCATCATGACATAAAATTTGACTTAATTAGTTGCCTGATTAATTTTTTATGAATAATTAAACTTTTGTCCAAATTAGTAGGCTGTCTCATCAAACTATTCCGCGCTATTATACATGCGTCATCACATTCAATATGGCATCATCACGTTCAATAGGTTTCAGTAATTTATAATTTGTGAACTCGACAGTACCAATGCTGTCACTGAAAATATTTGCTTTAAAACACTAAAAAACGACATCTTGCCACCTGGTTTTAAACGTGAGGGACAGCTTGGTCGTGGGATGACCTACGGTCACCAGGTCGGGTACCGATCTATCAGTTTAGTTAGCGGGCGTACTACATACTAGACCACACTGTCCAGTTGTGATAACAAAATCTTGGGGAGACCGGGTCTGGAAAAACGTCTGGCAACAATGAGGATAAGCTATGGATGGGGGAGAGGAATGTGTGTAAAAAAAGGGTGCCTTTATTTGTGGCCGATGAAAGGCAGATTCAATTCCGTACCACGTTTAGAAAAACAAAAGGTACCCCAGTACTACATAGCTAACTTATCAAGCATACTTTACATCCTTTCAACTTCATTTTTAAATGTAGTATTTGAAAAAATCAATCACACTAACTTAACAAAAGCACCCGACTCAAAGGTCTTTAACTCAGAAAGTCTCCCCCCCTTCCTTATACAATTGTTTTTTAAGTGTGAATGGGTATCATTGTAGTATCAAACAAATAAATGTTTACAAGGGTATGTTTTATTCTTTAGCAAGATAAACTAATGGGATATGAAATAAATGAAGACTATCAGTGTACGTATTCAGCTTGTTACAATAGAATGAACACACTCGTAAAATGGTGTGTTTTTAACTAATATTTCTTATATTGATAAAATTTGGATCCCGCAGTCTACTTGGTGAATTTAATAAAAAACTGTTCAATTAATAATTTCCACCTTTGGCTTATAATGTTTAAGACAGCTTAGATACATCTTTATTTTATATTTTAAATAGACCTAATGGCCGAATTATATAATACAAATATAACGGAATACGAAAGGTAGTATCGATATCGCTAATACTTCGTGTCACAACCTTTTTGTACTGTCAACTTCATGGCACAAACTCAAGACAGATACCAACCGCATCACTGTTGTGTTATTGCATATTAAGGCCTGATGGATAACACCAAACAACTCTTGTCCTAGTAATTTACACAATTTTATTGATATAAAGATACAACCGCTTCATTACCAAACAACGCCATTTTTTCTTCCCGCTTCCTCTCTACTTCCACTTTCTTTTGCACATGCGCCCACCCACAATATATTTTAGATTTATATCGCCTTTTTACACCTCCACTCGAAACATACATTCACACAACATTTGACTGTTACACTTAGGCCTAAGGGGTCTATTTTGTTTGTCGGGTTTTACAGCTTGTGAACGTCTGAAGAAGAAAGTAAAAACATTTGTGGAAATATCATTAAAAATGTACCGATTCATACTAAATTCAAATTATGTCTGAATTTTTCCTTTTTTAATTGATCTAAATACCAACGGATATAGCGACAAAACATTAGCGATACTGCTTTTCTCGATTTTTAGATTTAATGCTCTAATAAAATGCATTACGAAAAAGATGATTTTCTTTGTTAAAAAATTAAACTAAAAATCGTATAGTCTTACTCAAATCGAACCTAGTGTCATTATTTTTAGTTTTAAATCATTATATGTATAAGTTAATTTCAACTTTGTGTTGAGTTATCATATACCTAATTCAATAATTAGTAGCACATAGTAGTAGAATCTATAGGCCGCAACATATTAGCTCAATTCATACAATTTTTACTATTTTAAAAAGGTTGATTTATTATCTTTGAATCTGCTCATTTACTAGTTTAATTATTAACTTTCTTTAAGAAAAAAAATGTATAAAAATTGGTGACATAATTCCAATAAAACGAAGGAACATGAAAATGTGGTAACGATACCGCTAGTAGGGTACCTAGTTTGTGAGACATTTTGCATAGTCTGCTAAACAGATAAACCTAAAATAATTATGCTTGTTAGAAAGTTTAATAAAAAATAAAGATAATCCCACTAAAAACAGAGTTAGTCTCAATGTTTTACTATTTTAAGTAAATTTTTGAAAACTCACCTTTTAAACTCAATATGAGATTAACAAAAACAAGTAAAAGGTTGAAATAAAAATTATACGGCAATAACGGCCAATAACTGCTGCTAATAAGGAGGGCATATATGATTGGAATCATAATTGCATTCTATCGTTTTTTAAACGGTTAACATAGCAATGAGAACGACTACATTTGAATTATATTTTTTTTTTGTGCACGAAGGGTTTAGAGCCTGTGACGTCATATTTTATTTACTTGTGCAACTAGCTACTCTATTGTAAATAAAACATGTAAAGTACTTTAAAAAAATTCATAAAAAACGTTTTAATAACAAGCTTTTGTGTAATAATGCACTAAAAAGGAAAAATAAATTATACACTACTATTTAAATAACTATAAAGAAAAGCGTGGTTCTCTTCCTAAATATTATGAGTAAAGGTATCCAATATTTATTAAAATATTGTATCATTTATTTTCTCCTTTTTAGTGCATTATTACATAAAAACTTGTTATTAAAACGTTTTTTATGAAATTTTTTATCCTATAGAATTATTTCATAACCTCATATGAAGAAGAGAGGAAAATATACACAATGATTATGACATTATTGATAATGGTGCCACAAAAATTACAGTTTTGTTGTCCAACATATAAAAAGTATATATGTACTGCTATGTAATAAAATATATTAAAAATATAAAAATATATACTGCTGAAGGAAATAATGATGAGACTAGGGTTAGTGTGTTAGGATTAGGGGTCGGTTTTGGTTAAAATTCAGATCAAACTTCCGGTTTCGCTAGTACCTGTTGATATTGTTAAAAATTTTGTCAAATTTTGGTAGAGGATTATGTAGTTTGGGCTGAGAAAAAACAATAACAGCATAATGCCCATTGTATTTTTCCCTCAATAGGCCAAGTATCCAGTATTTATATATGTACATATCAACTAAATATGTCATGTTGAGATCCCATTAATCATGTTGAGATTCCATAAGTCATGTTGATATTCCAAAAGTCATGTAGAGCTCCCATAAGTCATGTTGAGACCCCATAAGTCATGTAGAGCTCACATAAGTCATGTTGAGACCCCATAAGTCATGTAGAGCTCCCATAAGTCATGTTATGACCCCATAAGTCATGTAGAGCTCCCATAAGTCATGTTATGACCCCATAAGTCATGTTATGACCCCATAAGTCAATGTTATGACCCCATAAAGTCATGTTATGACCCCCATAAGTCATGTTGAGACCCCATAAGTCATGTAGATCTCCCATAAGTCATGTTATGACCCCATAAGTCATGTTATGACCCCATAAGTCATGTTATGACCCCATAAGTCATGTTATGACCCCATAAGTCATGTTGAGACCTGATGTTGTGTGTGCTCTCCCCCAGAAACTCAAGCTGAATGACTTTGTGTCACGGAGCCAGCTCCCAGACCTCAGGAAAACAATTCACTACGCTAAAAAATCTATTCACATCAGGAAGTCCCTGCCAGGCTCCTACCACAAGGTAAATCACAACACAAGGTAAATCACAACAACACGAGGTAAATCACAACAACACAAGGTAAATCACAACAACACGAGGTAAATCCCAACAACACAAGGTAAATCACAACAACACAAGGTAAATCACAACAACACAAGGTAAATCACAACAACACAAGGTAAATCCCAACAACACAAGGTAAATCACAAGAACACAAGGTAAATCACAACAACACAAGGTAAATCACAACAACACAAGGTAAATCACAACAACACAAGGTAAATCACAACAACACAAGGTAAATCACAACAACACGAGGTAACTCACAACAATACAAGGTAAATCACAACAACACGAGGTAAATCACAACAACACAAGGTAAATCACAACAACACAAGGTAAATCACAACAACACAAGGTAAATCACAACAACACAAGGTAAATCACAACAACACAAGGTAAATCACAACAACACAAGGTAAATCACAACAACACAAGGTAAATCACAACAACACAAGGTAAATCACAACAACACAAGGTAAATCACAACAACACAAGGTAAATCACAACAACACAAGGTAAATCACAACAACACAAGGTAAATCACAACAACACAAGGTAAATCCCAACAACACAAGGTAAATCACAACAACACAAGGTAAATCACAACAACACAAGGTAAATCACAACAACACAAGGTAAATCACAACAACACAAGGTAAATCACAAGAACACAAGGTAAATCACAACAACACAAGGTAAATCACAACAACACAAGGTAAATCACAACAACACGAGGTAAATCACAACAACACGAGGTAACTCACAACAATACAAGGTAAATCACAACAACACGAGGTAAATCACAACAACACAAGGTAAATCACAACAACACAAGGTAAATCACAACAACACAAGGTAAATCACAACAACACAAGGTAAATCACAACAACACAAGGTAAATCACAACAACACAAGGTAAATCACAACAACACAAGGTAAATCACAACAACACAAGGTAAATCACAACAACACAAGGTAAATCACAACAACACAAGGTAAATCACAACAACACAAGGTAAATCACAACAACACAAGGTAAATCACAACAACACAAGGTAAATCCCAACAACACAAGGTAAATCACAACAACACAAGGTAAATCACAACAACACAAGGTAAATCACAACAACACAAGGTAAATCACAACAACACAAGGTAAATCACAACAACACAAGGTAAATCACAACAACACAAGGTAAATCACAACAACACAAGGTAAATCACAACAACACAAGGTAAATCACAACAACACAAGGTAAATCACAACAACACAAGGTAAATCACAACAACACAAGGTAAATCACAACAACACAAGGTAAATCACAACAACACAAGGTAAATCACAACAACACAAGGTAAATCACAACAACACAAGGTAAATCACAACAACACAAGGTAAATCACAACAACACAAGGTAAATCACAACAACACAAGGTAAATCACAACAACACAAGGTAAATCACAACAACACAAGGTAAATCACAACAACACAAGGTAAATCACAACAACACAAGGTAAATCACAACAACACAAGGTAAATCACAACAACACAAGGTAAATCCCAACAACACAAGGTAAATCCCAACAACACAAGGTAAATCCCAACAACACAAGGTAAATCCCAACAACACAAGGTAAATCCCAACAACACAAGGTAAATCACAACAACACAAGGTAAATCACAACAACACAAGGTAAATCACAACAACACAAGGTAAATCACAACAACACAAGGTAAATCACAACAACACAAGGTAAATCACAACAACACAAGGTAAATCACAACAACACAAGGTAAATCACAACAACACAATGTAAATCCCAACAACACAAGGTAAATCACAACACAAGGTAAATCACAACAACACATGGTAAATCACAACACAAGGTAAATCTCAACAACACAAGGTAAATCATAACAAGGTAAATCACAACAACACAAGGTAAATCACAACAACACAAGGTGAATCACAACATCACAAGGTAAATCCCAACAACACAAGGTAAATCACAACAACACAAGGTAAATCACAACAACACAAGGTAAATCACAACAACACAAGGTAAATCACAACAACACAAGGTAAATCACAACACAAGGTAAATCACAACAACACAAGGTAAATCCCAACAACACAAGGTAAATCCCAACAACACAAGGTAAATCCCAACAACACAAGGTAAATCCCAACAACACAAGGTAAATCACAACAACACAAGGTAAATCACAACACAAGGTAAATCACAACAACACAAGGTAAATCACAACAACACAAGGTAAATCACAACAACACAAGGTAAATCACAACACAAGGTAAATCACAACAACACAAGGTAAATCACAACACAAGGTAAATCACAACAACACAAGGTAAATCCCAACAACACAAGGTAAATCACAACACAAGGTCATTCACAACAACACAAGGTAAATCCCAACAACACAAGGTAAATCACAACAACACAAGGTAAATCCCAACAACACAAGGTAAATCCCAACAACACAAGGTAAATCCCAACAACACAAGGTAAATCCCAACAACACAAGGTAAATCACAACACAAGATAAATCACAACAACACAAGGTAAATCACAACAACACAAGGTAAATCACAACAACACAAGGTAAATCACAACACAAGGTAAATCACAACAACACAAGGTAAATCACAACAACACAAGGTAAATCACAACAACACAAGGTAAATCACAACAACACAAGGTAAATCTCAACAACACAAGGTAAATCACAACAACACAAGGTAAATCACAACAACACAAGGTAAATCACAACAACACAAGGTAAATCCTAACAACACAAGGTAAATCACAACAACACAAGGTAAATCACAACAACACAAGGTAAATCACAACAACACAAGGTAAATCACAACAACACAAGGTAAATCACAACAACACAAGGTAAATCACAACAACACAAGGTAAATCACAACAACACAAGGTAAATCACAACAACACAAGGTAAATCACAACAACACAAGGTAAATCACAACAACACAAGGTAAATCACAACAACACAAGGTAAATCACAACAACACAAGGTAAATCACAACAACACAAGGTAAATCACAACAACACAAGGTAAATCCCAACAACACAAGGTAAATCACAACAACACAAGGTAAATCACAACACAAGGTAAATCACAACAACACAAGGTAAATCACAACACAAGGTAAATCACAACAACACAAGGTAAATCACAACACAAGGTAAATCACAACAACACAAGGTAAATCCCAACAACACAAGGTAAATCCCAACAACACAAGGTAAATCCCAACAACACAAGGTAAATCACAACAACACAAGGTAAATCACAACAACACAAGGTAAATCACAACAACACAAGGTAAATCCCAACAACACAAGGTAAATCACAACAACACAAGGTAAATCCCAACAACACAAGGTAAATCACAACAACACAAGACAAATCACAACAACACAAGGTAAATCACAACACAAGGTAAATCACAACAACACAAGGTAAATCACAACAACACAAGGTAAATCCCAACACAAGGTAAATCACAACAACACAAGGTAAATCACAACGACACAAGGTAAATCACAACACAAGGTAAATCACAACAACACAAGGTAAATCACAACAACACAAGGTAAATCACAACAACACATGGTAAATCACAACAACACAAGGTAAATCACAACAACACAAAGTAAATCCCAGCACAAGGTAAATCCCAACAACACAAGGTAAATCCCAACAACACAAGGTAAATCACAACAACACAAGGTAAATCACAACAACACAAGGTAAATCCCAACAACACAAGGTAAATCACAACAACACAAGGTAAATCACAACACAAGGTAAATCACAACAACACAAGGTAAATTACAACAACACAAGGTAAATCACAACAACACAAGGTAAATCCCAACAACACAAGGTAAATCCCAACAACACAAAGTAAATCACAACACAAGGTAAATCCCAACAACACAAGGTAAATCCCAACAACACAAGGTAAATCCCAACAACACAAGTGACTGGCTTGCTGGGCTAGTTCTTTTCTGTTCTTTTGTTTACTTGATTGAGCTGAGGCTGTCAATGATTGTGTTTGCCACATGCCTATTGTGTCTGTGTCTTATGTGCCCAATTGGGTGGCTCATGTTGTGCTCACCACGTGTGGTTTATGTGCTCACCACGTGTGGTTTATGTTGTGCTCACCACGTGTGGTTTATGTGCTCACCACATGTGGTTTATGTTGTGCTCACCACGTGTGGTTTATGTTGTGCTCACCACGTGTGGTTTATGTGCTCACCACATGTGGTTTATGTTGTGCTCACCACATGTGGTTCATGTTGTGCTCACCACGTGTGGTTTATGTTGTGCTCACCACATGTGGTTTATGTTGTGCTCACCACGTGTGGTTTATGTGCTCACCACGTGTGGTTTATGTGCTCACCACGTGTGGTTTATGTTGTGCTCACCACGTGTGGTTTATGTTGTGCTCACCACGTGTGGTTTATGTTGTGCTCACCACATGTGGTTCATGTTGTGCTCACCACATTGGGTTTATGTTGTGCTCACCACATGTGGTTTATGTTGTGCTCACCACATGTGGTTTATGTTGTGCTCACCACGTGTGGTTTATGTTGTGCTCACCATGTGTGGTTTATGTGCTCACCACGTGTGGTTTATGTTGTGCTCACCACGTGTGGTTTATGTTGTGCTCACCACGTGTGGTTTATGTGCTCACCACATGTGGTTTGTGTGCTCACCACATGTGGTTTATGTTGTGCTCACCACGTGTGGTTCATGTTGTGCTCACCACATGTGGTTTATGTTGTGCTCACCACGTGTGGTTTATGTTGTGCTCACCACGTGTGGTTTATGTTGTGCTCACCACGTGTGGTTTATGTTGTGCTCACCACGTGTGGTTTATGTTGTGCTCACCACGTGTGG